TCCTTAATTTTTGGCAACCTAATGATGCTTTATGTTTTGAAACGTTGGGAGTAGTAGCTACTCCCTCTGATCCCATAAAAAACCAAACTAATATCGGATGTGACACATTCTAATACTACGAACTTAAATATACATATGTTCAGATTTATCGTACTATAATATGTCACATCCGATTCTAGATTCGTTTTTTATAGGACAGATGGAGTACGTAGCATGCAGGATGCAGCCAAGAGAACCCATCCGTGGCCATCGCTAGATCTATCCATTAATCCATGCATGGATCGATCGATCGATTGTGCAGAGGCTGCAGACATGCGTACGATGGCAGAAGGACACCCAAATTAATTAAGCTCGCGCGCGCGATCGATCGACGATCGATCGCTATAGCTACTAGCTATGTGGATGAGAGCAGAAATCGATAATTAATTATGACAATTACTACTGGGCCGGCGACGAACAGACACAGAGAACCACGCATATCTGCAGCTCGATCGATCACACTGATCTGCATCTGCATCGATCGCGATCAATCGATCGATCGGCGGACGGCGTACTGCCACCTGCTGCTGATCGAACTGCTGATATATGCGAGGCCATTGCGCCTACGTACGCGACGGCATCTCATGCGTCGTCTTGGCTGGCCTCAGCTCAAATGGGGCGGGAGCTACTGTCTTGGCCTCAGGCCCTCAGCTGAAATGGGGCGGGAGCTACTGCTAGCTGTGAGGGTAGTAGCTTGATTGCTGCTACGGATAGTTCAGATGATATTGAGACTGGCAGCCATGCATGCTGCTGCTCTGCTCCCTGCATGCATGCCCAAGGGCTGCATACCCCTGCATGCCTGGCCGGCCTGTATACATCGATCTATCCATATACTACATGCATTTCCATTTCAGCTTGGTTTCCAGGGGCAGCAGGCAGGAGAGGGAGGCTGCTGGCTGCTGCTGCAGCTAGCGCCACTGCACTGCACACACAAACTTAAAGGTGGCCTTTCATTCATTGCCCCTCGCTAGTGGCCGCTGTCCCCAACACTGCTCCTCTGCCTGCCTCCATCCTCCCCCCCCCCCCCCACCACACACACCCAACCACAGGACCACCTCTTCGATCTCTCTCCCTCCTTTTTCAGCTGCACCAGCTGCAACTCTCTCCTCTCTCTCTCTCTCACCGAGCTGCATTGCCGCAGTGGTCACTGCTCAGATCAGAGCGGTGAAGCATGCAATTACTGGCTGACTAGCTAGCTGCTGAAACGAGCTCAAAAGGAAAGAGCTGAGCTGAGCCGGGCGCGCGGGCGAGGCAGCATATGCATGCATGTTTTGTATGATGGGCAATGAAACACTGCAGGGGCAGGCACTAGCTACTTGCTTGACTGTGCCTGCTCACAGGCAGCTAGCTGTGCGAGCCTGCATGTCTTCTAGTGTGCCTCAGCGAGGAACAGAGATATGGATATTACTCGTAAAGAGATTGGTCCTAGAAACAGATCGATCTGCATGCATGCCTTTCAAACCCCAAAACAATTGTTTGCTTGGGTTGCAACCATATGGTGGAAAGCTGTCATATATGCTAGTATTGCTCATGTATGTTTTTCTCACATTTGCAGCAGGATATCGCAGGTGTTTCCATGGCCAATTTCTGTGTGTTTCCTACAGCAATTATGGACTTACAGCAGGTGTACATGTGCGTGACCCAGTTCTTTTTTAATTCCATCACCACCGCCCTCTTCTTATATTCATTCATCCATTAATTCCTGTGCTTGCTATCCATTGGGGACCTTCAGTTAGTTTGGGCCCTCTGAATGAGTTGTCCCAAGGAACAATCTATAATGATGTTCTGATGACTGCCACTGCATGTTGTGGTGTGTGTTTGTCGCCTTGATGTGTCTGTGCATGCTAGTAGTAGTAGTATATTGCAATAAACCTTTTGCACACAAGAAAGGGGAGAATGCTCTGAGGCGAGACATGGATGATACTCCTACCGAGGAGGATCATATTCATAGGTTTTGTGCGGTGCAGTGCGTGCTAGCGCCTGCTGCAAGCAGGCATGTATCAAGATTCAAGATATGGCATGCAAGATGCTTTGCACTTTTTTACTGTATCTGGGATGATACTATATACTCGTACTATGCATGATCGATTCTCGCATCGCATGCATGCATGAGCATGACTTTGCCAATGGGATGTCAGTGATATATGCATGGCTAGCTCATCGCTTCTGGGTATTATGTTGCAGTGATGCAGCCTTGCTTGCACGGCCCAATGCAACGGAAAGATCAGAATATACTCTCTCCATCCTAAAAGAATTTCTATCCTGGCTATGAATCTGAACACACAATATGTCTAGGTTTCTAAGTTAAGATTGATTTTTTATTGGATATATCATTGATCTCCTTTCACATACTCCTACCTACTCCTGAACAGGCACAATTAAAAATGGTGAGAAAGAAAGGGCAAGATCGCAAGAGGAAATGTCAATTAACTAAATAAATAAATATATAATCATCAGTGTCATATTGTGTGTGTATGTGTGTAAGAGGAAGATAAGGGGGAGCCGTGGAGGCACAGGTGAGAACTGAGAACTATGCTCGATCTTTGAGAACGTGAGAAACATTGCAAATGATACACTGCTGATTCTGATGGGTATCATCGTCACTGGGTGGTAGCTACTATTCATATGGCCACCGTATAAAGCAGCTAGCTAGGGAACATTGTTCTGATTTATGACATGCACCAGCTAGCTAGCTAGACTGATATTTACTCCATCCATATATGTTTTCTTCATCCATCCTAAGATATAAAGCTGCTCCCTCTATCCGTGAATATAAGAGATTATACTTTTTTTTTAAGAATTAAGGAAGTAAGAAAATGACATGTGATGAGATAAAATGTGATGTGTGAAAGAATAAAGTAGTACTCTCTCCGTCCTTTAATATAAAATCCCTTATATTATGGGACGGAGGGAGTATAAAAATTAGTAGGTGGGAGAATAAATTAGTATAAAAGTAGATGGTAGATGAATAAATTAGTACAAAAGTTGGAGAACATGATGCTGTCTTGGAATTCTAAAACCCCTTATATTTTGGAACAAATTTGATAAAAAAATCTCTTATATTCATGTATGGAGGGAGTATACCTCTGCAGCTCAATATACATATATATTTCGTAAGTACATATAACATCTCTCTAAAAGTGTTATATATAAAAGTTTGATTTATTTTAAATAAAGCAATAATAATATTGTACGCTTATTGAGGATACATTCAAAATTCATCCTTTTGTGTCGAAATGACTTCAATTATATTTACTCCTCCGCTTCATATTATTTATTGTTTTAGCTTTGTCCTAAGTCAAATATTCCTAAGTACTTTAGCTATATATTAATTTTAGATATTCATATAGTTTATAATATATGAATTATTTATGTAATGAAAGTATTTATCATGGTGAACCTAAAACAATACTAAATTTTATAAATGTTAAAGTATATAATTTTCTAAAAAAAGGTCAAAGTTAGTAATATTTGGCATATATAACAAAGCTAAAAACAACAAATAATTTGAAACGGATGGCATAAAGTATTTTAAAGGCAAATTATTGGGTAATTAAAAATAGTTTGACTTAACATAACGGGAGAGATATTAATTAGTAATTAGGATAGCTTGAGCCAGCATTATGTATTTGATACTGCTAATTAGCTAGAGCAATGAACAATCAAAATCAAACAACTGAACTGACCTATTGCTGACAGTTTTCTGTGAGCATGAGAAGATGATACTAATCCCAAATCCTTTTCCTTTTCATAGAAATGATCTTATCTGATTATTTCTCCCTTTTTTGGGTCCAAATTTATGTCTTTACTGAGGATAAAAGTAGGTGTGGTCCTGCTAGCTACTAGTTGATGCTCAAAAGATGGATGGTCCCTAGACTAAACTAGCCTCCTAGATTTCGATGTTGAAAGATTTGTAAAGGTACTGTATTTTAGTGGGAAGAAGAATATTATTCAACAATCTAACAAAATTCAAAATCAAGTATACATACTACCTGCCACTAAATGTTGATTTTTTTAGAGAAGGGTATTTATACCCAGCCTCTAAATCCAACCGGATATATGCAGCCTTTTTAATTTAGAAACTTAGCCCTCAAATAATCCAATCTAAAATTTGCTTCTACGAAAATTTGAACTCAGCATCTTGAAGTGCTACTTAGTTCACTGCAACCACTAGATTACGTGCCCTTTCACACCAAATGTTTTGATATATAACATCTAAGGATCTTCCTTTTTGCAAACAACTCTCATCAGCTTTCAAGACCATACTAATTCAAAGAAAAACAATTAAAATTCCAGCTGATATAGCTATACTCATGGAACACTAAAAACTCTTTAATTAGTTCAACCTAATTAATTCACCAGACGAAGTTAGTGTAATCCGAGGAATAGAAGGTGTTCTATGAAATTAAGAAGCATATCTAGGCATTGGCATCCTTGTATCTTGCTAATCTAACCCCATGTTAATGCTAGTAGCACTTTGATTTGTTGTCCACTGCACACAGGGGGTGCTAGTTGATTAATTAGGTCAAGCGTAGTTTATTTCATCGTTTGTTTGATGGCTTATATATCAACCGCAACAAAATTTAAATTTTAAAAATTATTTTTAAGTTGATTTAAGTTTTTTTTACTATAGTTTATTTTCCAGCGTTGTCTTTAAATTGTTAATTAGGAAAGTTATAAAGAGTTTTCCCTCAAAATAATAGTTATAAAGAGTTTTCTCTTAAAAAATAGTTATAAATAGTTTTATCTATAAACTATTTTTTATTGCCTAGTCATAGATCGAGCAAACGATGCATGAGAGGTTTAGCCAGGTCAAGTGTACATATGTAAATTTAGGAAAGCATGTATATGCCCGTATATACACTCCGCTAACATATGGCATTGAGCTTAATGAGCTTATCAGCTCGCCAGGTCAGCTCCGATCCTCTGCTGGCCAAATTGCCAATATACGATCTATACGATCGATCGATCAGGGAGAGTGAAGTGAGCCGGGGGAGCAACAAGGGAGAGAGCATATGGTGGTAAAAGGACAGTGACGCGACAGCGACGACGCTGATCATTTATTCCTCAGTGTAAATACCCACCACAAAGCTTCACAGGTCGTCTTCCACATCCTTCTCTCCGACGACGCTACCTAGCTAAGCTGCTGCTCTGTAGCTGGCAGGCTAGGGTTTACGCTAGCTGATCGGAGCTACCACCAACGCCGGTGGTTGGTAGCTCGGCGGCGGCGGGATCTTCTTCTTGCTCGGGTTAATTGGCGAGCTATATATATATCTAGCTCATCGGCGGGAAGGGGAAATCTCGGCTGACTTGAAGGGATCGGAGGAGGCCATATATATGCATGGCTGAGTTCTTGTAAGTGTTTCTCTCTCTGAATACATCTGGAGCCGGTTTGGGTGTTTGATTTGTTAATTCTTGGCGATTATTCTATGGATTTGGGGATCACAAAATTATGTGTGTGTGTGCCTTTTGAGAGTTTTTAATCTCCCCAGCTTTCCGTGGTCCTTGATTAGGATTTTATGCTGTGGATCTGAGCCCAGATTTGTTAATTCTTCTTCAATTATTTTCTGTGAGACTGTACAATTCCCTCTTGGATTTCTTTCGTACCTGAGTTCCATTTCTTTTTCCATGGAAGGTTTCTTCTCTGAACCTGCAGTACTGGGTCGCCAACCAAATAATCTTTGTTTCAATTGCACCGGATCGCCTCTCTCTGATCCTTTTGCTTCCGGAACGACCTGGTTGATCGATCTGTCAATTTAATTATCCATTTTGCCCACTGCTCTTCATTTTTTTCCTTTTTTTTTCCTGAATATAGTGTTCAGTTCTAGGAATCCCCAACTGAGTAAATTAATCCTCTGTCAAGCCTCCAAAAAATTTCACCTTTTTCGCTCGCCACACAAATTTCCTCCCTCGATCGATTGGTTTCAAAGAGCACAATTTAAAAGCTAATGACTGCTACAGTTAAAGACTGGGTGCATGCTGCAGGCCCTGCAGGATTAGCTAGCTAGCAAAAGCTATTCGTCTCGGCATAAAGGCTAGCACTCAATACAAACCCCCCGACCCAGCCTTCTCCTGTTCCTCATTCCCATGGGCAAATAGTGATCCTTTGTACGATCCAATTCATAGCTCTTCTTCCCACCGGCGAGACGAATCATGCATGGCTGCTCGATTCAATCATGGAATCATATCATTCCCACACATAGTGCCACTGCTGATGGCTCGCATGCAGCTCACCCAGCTAGAGCTGCAAGCGCAGCAGGGAAGAGCCGGTCTTTCGATCTCGATCTCGCTACTAGCTACTACCTAGGTAGATCGATTGATAGGAGTAGAGATATAGCTAGCTGTTGCTCGCAAATACGCAGCGAATAAAGCTGGCTCGCTTTCCCCATTCCCCAATGGAACAGTGACACAAGCAGAGAGAGAGAGAGAGAGAGAGAGAGAGATAATCCGTCGAGATCGGGTGGTAGACCCTTCCGTGCACAGGAGAGATTTATTTACCCCGGGTTAATTACTAGTAGTGCTGGTTGATTATGGCGCGAAATTTTATGCTAATCAGTCTGCATGCGATGTTACTCCTAATTAATTAGGTGTTGTTGTGTGTGTAATGATTGGGTAGCTAGCTAGCTAGGTGGATCGAGGACTGACGATGGGAGGATGAGCTCGAGGAGGCGTTGATAAGGATGATACTAGGAAGCAACCAAGCGGCCGCCGCCGCGGCTGCGGCAGCTGCGGCGGAGGAGGAGGCGGCGGAGCTAGCGAGGAAGCACACGGCGGCGGTGGCGACGTCGCGGCAATGGTCGGCGCAGACGGAGTCGCGGATCGTGCGCGTGTCGCGGGTGTTCGGCGGCAAGGACCGGCACAGCAAGGTGAAGACGGTGAAGGGGCTGCGCGACCGGCGGGTGCGGCTGTCGGTGCCGACGGCGATCCAGCTGTACGACCTGCAGGACCGGCTGGGGCTCAACCAGCCCAGCAAGGTGGTGGACTGGCTGCTCAACGCGGCGCGCCACGAGATCGACAAGCTGCCGCCGCTGCAGTTCCCGCCGCAGGACCACCTCTGCATGGGACACCACCACCACCTGCCGTCGGCCATGCCGCTGATGCACCACCACGGCCACCACCACCACGCCGACGACGATAAGTACCACGTCGCGGCGGCGGCGGCCGCGCTGGCCGCGGAGAAGGAGGCGGCGGCGGCCGGCGGCGGAGGAGGAGGAGGGGGAGACGACGTCGACGGCGGGGGCGGCGGCGGAGCGGCGCACATAGTGGGGAGGTTCCCCGCCGGTGGCTACCACCGGTTCATGGGGCTGAACAACCCGCTGGGGATGGTCAACAGCGCCGCCGGCGCCGCCATGCCGTTCCACTACGCCGGTGAGTCATGGAATAATGGCAGCGTGCAAGACAGCGGCGCCGGCTCGCCGCAGGTGGCCGCCGCCGCGGCTCACCACACCTCGCCGTTCCCTTCACTGCTTTCCTTGGCTCCAGGGCCGCATCATCAGCTGGTGTTCTACTCCTCCGAGGCCGAGCAGTTCACAGTAGACAACCTTGGCTCGCAGGGCTTGTCCCTGAGCTCGGCGAGAGCTTTCCATGATCAGACAGGAAGCTAAGCAAGCTCGATCTACACAGTACACACACTGGAACAACACTCTTCGATCGTCGACAAGGTAAGGATCGATGAGCTCTACCAAAAGAACAAATCTAAGCTAGCTAGTGCAAGTGTGTGCATTGCTTTGATCTATGTATTAATTTCTTTCAAGGGAACAATTAAGCTTGTGGGTTAAGATTTAAGAAGGAAGATACTGCCAGCTAGCTGGCTGCTAATTTCTTTTGCTCTGAAACTAGGGCAAGAAATATGCAGGGCTTTGCTGCATATGCCTGTGTGCAATACGGATTTGTTACTTCTTTTTATATGCAAAGAAGTAATTGATGTATTGGCTTGTGTAATAATTAATAAGTTCTGAATTTTGAACCTTTCAGTTCTGCCTAGCCTTAATTTTCTTTATTTTTTCAAAAGGGAAACTTCTTTGTGTGTGTATTCAGTTTTCTGACGCCGTTGCTGCATCCCAAGCTTCCTGGCTGTACACAAAACATTGGGCAATGAATATCTGGTTGACACACTGCATACTGAGGAAGTATGTCCCTTTTTCCAGTTCATTCTGCGAAATATAAATACACTCCCTGCAAAATACTAATTTCCTTCCAGGTATATGTAGACTGAACCCTGAAGTATACATTATTTATATTCTAAATGTGAAACAAAGAAACTTACAGTGGATATTTCTTAATGTTGGAAAAAAAATGCTGGTTTCTTATGTGAAGGAAGCATATATATACACATGATTATTTTTCTTAACTGTCCCAATAAATTAAAATGGTATTTTTAAATTATTTCAGAAACATGGAAATAGTATAGTGTGCTTTGATGTTTAACCCTATGCTTGAATGTTTTTCGAGGAATTAAAACTTATAAAGGGCTACAACTCACACAAAGTAAACAATTTTTCACCTCATGCATATATGAGCTTGGGTAATAGTCAATCCATGTGATTCCACAAGGCTATTAATTGCAGTCATAATATACATAATGCAATGAAATATCTATATATGGGTTAATGGATATGTATGAATAATACATACATGCGTCGTCATTGTATTAATTTGAGATCTCTACCAGTACAATTAATCTTACGTGTACACATCTTGTTATTTTGAACGACACATGAGGTCACATATATATAGCTAGATATATACCGTGCCAAAGTAACAAGATAAGGTTCTATCTGCAGGTTAATGTTTATTAACACCCAAACATCTTTACAACTCCTACCTAGCTAAGTTTAACTAGAGAAGGAACCTCTTTACAACTCTTACCCTAGCTAGTTCAGTTTAGAGTTTAGGCCGCTTAGGGACATGGTCCACATGAATATATAGAGTTATGTAAAATAGTAGGCATTCTTCCATGAAACACATTGATAGTACATGCCTACAATTATGAAAACGGCAAGCAGCTCACTGAAGCATGATAGGAAGATAAACATAATCTAGCTAAGCATCATCTTATTGTTGTACGTACGTGCAAGTGTAGCATTATATTGCCTAGTCACAAATAAATTAAGAACTTAATTTAGAAGCTAGTAGCAAAGTAAATTCGAAGAGGATGCTGAAGTACCCAGGAAAAAGTATATTGAGGCTAGGAAAGGATCAGCACAACGTTGCAATTAATTGTGAAATTGTAAAAATGCAGCAAAATGATTTTCGATCCATTTATTAATTAGGTCAAAGATACGTATAACCGTACCAACTGATCAAATTGATGATCAGATTGACATGTGAAAAAGGAGGATCAATAAATTATACTCCTAGTATATGTATTGGGGCATATATGTTTTCACTTGATTGATAAGCCGGCTAATCCTATATAGCTTAAGAAATCATCAATTACTATGTTTTCTCATACGTATTATTGTCAAATTAATATATATGTCAATTAAGTTCCCAAATTAACTTTCTCAGTCAAATTGATCTGCTCCTCACTAATTAATTTGCCAATTTGTTATGAAAAAAATGCATATGCTTTACACTTTTCATTTAGTATATAACATGATTAAAGGCAGATTTTACCGAAATAATAAATTAAACTAGGTACAGGAAATCATATGACTGACTTGAGTTGATATAAATTCAAATAAGGAAATATTGGTCATGTTTATTTCTTAAAATACGGACATGTTTAAGCAAAGATTGTGCTTATCACATGGAAGATGGAACTTCCTTCAAGAAAAAAATAATTAAACTTAATTAATGGTAGAGCTGAAAATGCTTTTGAAGTTTTATGCGGCTTGATCGATCCCATAGAAAAAAAAGAAAACAATATGATTGTATATATATATATACCATTCTTTCATTACTCTATATACTATATCTGGTTTCAAATAATTGTCACTTTGAGTCTTCGATCATCAATAAATTTAATTTAATAGTTAGATTATGATGTACAAAAGTTTCATGAATATATTTAGGATGCAACACACTTTGTTCATATGGAATACTTCTAAGCATTTAAAAATTTTCTTAACAAAAGATGAATGGTCAAAGTTTGAAAATGAATACAATGACAAGTATTTGAATACTCATGAAGTATATACTCCCTCCGTCTCAAAATAAGCGCAACCATAAATTTTCGCGTACAATTTTGATCGTCCGTCTTATTTGAAATTTACGATTAGTATTTTTATTGATATTATATTATAAAACATGAACAATACTTTATACGTGACTTATGTTTTTAGTTTTTTTTTCAAAAAAATTTTAAATAAGACGGACGATTAAAGTTGGGCACGGAAACTCATGATTGCGCTTATTTTGGGACGGAAGGAGTATATGGGAAATATATACATTCTTCATTTCATATGAATAGATATGTGCACTTCTGGAAAGTCAAAATGACCTCAGATCCACACCAGTTCTACAAATATAAATATTTATATATAGTAGAAAAGATGCCCGTGCGTTGCAACAGGGGAAGGTTTTTTCATCTTATTATTGTTATACAGTTTAGTTAAGGTAAAATTTACTGTGCGGATTCGCTTGGATATATATATTTTTTAGAAAATCATGAGCTACAGTTAGGATCGTCTCAAGTTAGCATGTGAGTTTTTTTAATGAGATTTCTTATACGACGAATTCTGTATTTCCAAAAGCGAACGAATTTAAAAACTGACTCAAATACGGATATGTATTTTTAAAAGGAAACTTAAAAACCAACTCATACACAGATGACGTACCAAAATACTGGTAAAAACATTTTAAATTTTTATAATAGTAGAGAAGAGTTATACGTACTTGTTTTTCGGACAATCCGGTTTTCAGAGCCAGCTAGTACAAAGTATTTCAGAAGTCAAGACCTGTCCTCAGATGACTACACTCATTATATATTTTGTTCGTGCATGCAGAATGCATTTAATTCTAGACGATTGTTGGCGAAAGAAAGACAAACTGAGCAGCTCAAACACTGTTCACACCATACACTCCTACCTGTTGGGACTAGCTAGCTAGTTAGATGGTCACAGCTCACAAAACATAATGGTAAAGTAGCGATGTAAAGAGAGCAGTATTACCGACCAGCTCGCTAGCACATTCAACTCGACCCTGTACTGATCTGTCCTCTATCTCTCTCTCTCTGGTAGATCTCTGACCCGTAAACATCATCCTGCGTCACCCCCACCAGCAACGGGATGCCCAAAGAAAACAACAAAATAAGACACGGTGGACACACTTTGTTGGCGCAGACCCACCAACTAACGCACAGCCAGCTAGCTGCTAGCTTAGCACAAACCTAATTAAGCTAGAGGCTAGTATAGACAACATGCATGCATCAACATAATATGCATATCACTTTTGTAAATGGTAACATGCCTAGATAGCTAGCTTACCTAGCTAGCTAAAAGTACCAATCGTGTAAAAGGAAGATCATCAGCAGAAAGGCATGCACAGTTACACGCAAGAAATTATCTGTTAATCTAATCACGGGTACTGTATATGCATGACAATTACTACACAACCACCTAACATTCTTAACTAAGAATTATCCGCAGCAGCAGAAGCAGTGGTAATATCCTACTCCCTCCGTGTTTACCATTCGTCTTATTCAAAAAATTTAAGTAATTATTTTTTTTTTCATATCATTTGATTTATTGTTAAATATACTTTCATGTTTACATATAGTTTTGCATATTTCACAATTTTTTTTGATAAGACGAACAGTCAAACATGTGCTAAAAAGTTAACGGTGTCAAACATTTTGAAACGGAGGGAGTAATTAACTAGTACTATGGATATTCCACAACGATCTGGAGTAGTTGTTTTAGACATATATAGGCTGCTCCAGTCTATATAGGGCCCATTTGGAATGTAATGTATTATATATACAAGAATTTGGATGCATGTCATGCATGGCTAGTTTAATCATACAAGAATTAAACATGAAGAATCGTTTAGGCACTGAAATTTGCAGAAATTCTTAAAGAAAAAGTCTGCACAATTTATCTTAGACACACACACACACACACAGAGATCAGAAAGATCAGAATGCTCTGAAACATCTCAAAGGAAATGAAAATATGAGGTCTCAGCATATGTTTGAAGTCATCCAAAATATGGAGGAAGGAAAGGGATTCCATGGTAATTTTCAATCTAAAAAAATCCGATAATTCAAAAAGGTTCTACAGGAAATATTCTATATAGTTTAAGCCTATGAAAAAAACTACACATGCATCTCTTAACAAGTCCTAAGTTTTAGAAATATAATGTTCCTCATTGTTGGATTACTACTGTGTAATAATGTAAAGTTTTCTAAGAAAAGCTTCTACACACCATTCATTAAATTGAGTGGGTAATACACAAAGACCTAGCTAACCACAAAATTTAACAGTATGGTGTACGTTAAGAAGCAATGGCAACCAACAGACCACAAATAAATTAAAGGAGAAGAGAACAAACCGAACAAGTGAACAACAGCTATAAGATCTCGAGGCACACATCAAAGATCTCCATACTGACCATATATATGTAGCCAAAAATGGAGGCAATGAACAACTCCCACTGTACTCCAAATTAACACCGGAGCAGATCAACATTCTCGACAACTTTGGAGGATTGATTGGTACGACCAGTAAATTATGGTGAAGACACCCTCTCATGCTTTAAGATAATCGGTCCCATATTTGCCAAGCAACCTTGGTGAAAATCATAATTAAGACGTACTATCAACTCGCACTGAAGTTCTTCTTTGAAAATTCTGTCTTACATGTTGAGCCACCAATATCCATGAATGGAGAATCACCGTGCGGCATAAGAAAATCATTCCTGAGACAAGAAAGCTAGCCACTGAGATACTAGAATACATTGACAATGTGTATGTATTAGATTAATATTATTCAAGCAAACTTAATTAACCCAACATGACAGTTATTCTTCTTGTTGTCAGTCACCACCAATATTTGACCGATCACTAATTGGTAATTAAGTGAGATTATTAATTAGCAGACCAAACAGCAGCTAAGACCTGCGTATCAGCGGTTCATTCTGCGTGCCATCATCCTACCCATTTGACCAAGAGGAAAGCGAGCACTGCGTACGTGGGGGTCACTATCTCATCTTGCGTGCCGGATCGATCGATTGAGAGCAATATATCAGGGCTAGGTAGATCTTTTTCCCTCCACGTACGCACCTTTGCCAAAGCTGAACCCAAATCCCAAAGCGACCTTTCTTTTGTGCACTGATCTAACAAGCTATAGCTACTCGATCATCTGCACGTATATGTGCTTCTCTGCTTATTTGGGGAAAAAAGACGCTGTTCCCCTGCCTTAGCAGCGGCTACTACTAGCTAGTAGAGCCGAAAACATTTCCTGACAAAAACCCTTCCAAACAACTCCTGCTGTCTACCGTGGACAAGACCCTGCAGGGTCAAAGACAAGCTAAGAGTAATTAGGACTTTGTTTCAAAAAGAAAGCCAGGGTTTTGAAGATACTACTTCGTAATTACTAGGACTTGAGCCTTAGGAGTTAGGCTTTAGCTCCATAATCCTATTTACATGCTATAAAAAATACTATACAATAATTCAAAACATAAATTAAGAAGTAGCTACCAAGGGCACATTAGCTCTGCTCTAGGTTCAGCTCTACACCCCTGAATAAAACATGAATATCTGCAAAGACATTGCCCAGCTGAGAAAAGACAGCCTTTTGGTTGATTTGTATATGTACACATGTATATACAGAGGCATATATACACACACACACAACCATGTCTTATCTTTGAATGGCATACCTAAAACAAAAGGACAAGCATCTTAAGTTTGCAAAAATTTTGTCTCCGTGACCACCAATCATCTAGCCTAGCAGTTCCCCAAGAAAAAAAGAAAAATCAAGCTGCTATAGCTAGCAAGCAGCAAGCGAAGGGAAGTGACCAGTGAGTGGGGTTGATGAGTAGTAAAAGACCAGCAGTGGGGCTGGCTCTGTGGCTGGCCTGGCCTGGCCGGGGGGCTGGTCTTTGGAGGCGAGCTGAGCTAGGCCCCCTACGGTTAAAGCGCTCTCTCTCTCTCTCTCTCTCTCTCTCTCTCTCTCTCTCTCTCTCTCTCTCTCTCTCTCTCTCTCTCTCTCTGCGTGCACTGTGTCTGCATAGCCCTGTAGCTAGGGTTTGCATGCATGCAGCAAGCAGTTAGCTAAGCAGATGTACCCTTCGTATCTTTTGCCACGGAGAGACATGGACCAATATATACCCTTTCACATGAATGGTCCCCTGAGGCTACCACGATTCCTCCCCACATTTTTCCTATCAAACTCATCTTCCTTTCATCTTTAGTTTCATCCGTTTGTTAACTTTGAGTATAGCTAACTAGCTTAGCAACAAACCGGTAATTAGCTAGACTAGCTGTTCTCATGCTGGAAAAGTAACCTAGCCTACGCATCTAGTAATTATGTAATTATATGCATGCACACACATGAACCGATTTTGATCAACAATGTAGCCAACTAGCTAGAGCAATAGATTGCACGCTGGCTATCCTTAGGTGTGAATATATGGTGTATGGCAGTTAAGGTTGATTATTATTAAGGGAGATGATGATGAACTGTGTAGTGTGGGCTGTGGCAAATGGATGTGTCTTGCATGGTACGTGACAGACGAGCAAATTGGACACACGAGCAATGATACTCTCGTAAGATTATGCTTTGGAGAGCAGTATAGGGGAGTGGCCTACCAAATGCATAGCCTGTACCATGCATTATCCTCATTTCGTTGATCACTCTTTCGTTTATCTCTTCTGTAGCATGACTAATTCTATAGTAGGTACGTGCGCTAGCCGCTAGGTACAGATCGAACCGTGAGTTTCTTAACTAGAAATGGGGAGAAAAGAAAATCAGCTACCTTAACTAGCTGCTACCAACCTAAATTCTGTAAGCAGATGCATGCATTTCATTAATTAACAGAATGCGATCGATGCATGCAAAGGGCGGTTGCTCCTCGCGGTATTTTAGTCGTCAAACTGATTCTCCCCATGATCTATTGCATATTTTGAGCTATTTTTCAAAAAAAAAATCACAAAAGCTTAATTAAGTGGAACACAAAAGGCGAACATATTGCAACTGCGTTAATTCGTTTTTTATTAAGAAGGAAAAATCACTTGAATGTCTTCTGAAGGCCGTCGTACGTCCATATCGCGAAAAATCAGTGTGTTAACCGACGGTCCTGACGAATTCTACCTGTGAAGGAAAAAAAACGGTTCCAATATAATGTAGTGATTGCACGTGTACGTATAACTACTGCAGCATACAGCAGACCCATTGCATATGTACAATTAACCTGGCGCTACAGTATGCACGGGTATTACTTCCTCCATCCCACAATATAAACATTTTTAGAGTTAAACATGGTTATTAAGAAAAGTAGGTACAATTGAATAGAGGAGAGTTGTAATTCGATAAGTGGAGGTATGTGGAAAATTTGAATGGTGGAGGGTTGTGATTGGTTGAGAAGACAATGTTAGTGTAAAAATTGTTATATGTTGGGACAAATTTTAGAGGCTATAAGTTATTATATTTTGGGACGGAGGGAGTACCTGACGGAGGATTAATTGGACCTTGTTCCTTTGCAGCTGACGCATGTGTGTACAATCAACCTGTCGCCGGCCCTTAAGAGGCTGGTACATCTGTGTTTGCAGTGGACTTCGAGCTGGGCCTGCAGCCTGATGGGCCGACTTATAGGCTCATCAAGAGAACATGCATCGATGGTTCCATCCATGCCAGGCGAGGCGACTGGCAAATGGTAATACTGATGCGTGACACAGCCGGCCGCACAGCACAGGTGTACCGCGTGTAGCATCGCATTATCATTGCAGGATAGAGCAGTAGTGGCGAGCTAAACCCTCTCCAACGCAGTCGGACCATAATAAACCAACTGTGCCATCTGCTTGGAGCCTTCGATCCCGACCTCCCGTTCCCTGGCAACTTCTGAGCTTAATTACTACAGTACCATCTGTCCAGCTAATTATAGCACCCGCTTGCACGCGAGCAGAGACATTTCTGCATCACACATGTTAGTATGCTATTGACAAATTGTGATGACCAGCCATGAAAATGCCCTTGCAATCCACCACAGGGATAAATGTTATTATGTTAAGGATGGTTTCCTGCCAATCAGTCAACAATATCTAGTACGATGCTACCGAGATATTCTCCAGGAAGTTTTTAAGCATTCCTACATCAGAGACTTGGACGAGTCGCATGGTCCATGAGTAACTCGTCAAATGACATGTTGCAACTATCAGCCCACCAGATGGAGTACATGATCAGATCCAACCCTTCCTGATTCGAGCCCATGCAAGAGCAGCTATTAGGGCACCACCTAAATGAGAAGTACCTGATACCTGACCTTGCCTCTAAAAAATAAACAGATATCAGCCTCTGTACAACTTTTTTTGGGGAAAAGGAAGTATATATATAAAAAGCATAAATTAGATAAATGTAATCATCAAGAAGAAAGATATAAAACATAGAATTTCAACTAGCCAGGAAAGGCTAGTACATTCTAGAAACAGAAACATCACATGGAAAAATCAGTAAAATATTCCTAGCCACCCTAAATGTGAATATCAACTTTTTAAAAAATATCAGGTTAATTTAAGACCAGAGCTACTGCAGGCAGGAACTTCACAGAGTAAGCGATTCACAAAAATCCCAAAATTGAAATAAAAATGAAAGTAGCAGTGTCCAACAGCTATACTGTAATGCATCTGCTGAACCAGCACACTACCACAGTCAAAACTCATGGAAAAGCAACAGGGTAGCACCAAAAAACCAAAAGGAGCACTTATTACATTAGCAAATCCACATGAAAAGAAGTCACATTTTAAGTTACTGCATACCTTCACCCTCAGCAAATCAGCACCGATCAAAATAGCCCCCTGAAAAGTCAAAGAGTTTTTGTTTTACATCATAGCAACCATGCTTAACAGAAAGTTTTGAAGAAAAAAAGCTTCTCACCATAATTGCAGCTGGAATAGGAATGAAGAAGTAAAGATAGACTAGTTTCTTTGGATACAAAAAGATGTCAAGAAGGATAATTGCATTAGCAGCAGCACTTGCACCCTGATTCACATGAATATAATAGGTTATGTTTTGGGTGTAACAAGTAATAACTTAGTACTAGTACAGGTAGAGATGGCAACGGGTAATCCCCGCTGGGGAATACAACCCATCCCTATCCCTGCGGGCCACAAATTTCCCCACCCTCGTAAACTGCAATCAGGAACAATTTTCCCATCCCACCCCACGCGGGGAATTAATCCTCATGGAGGGCCCGTTTAAAACAACATATACATCTCAAATCGAAATGTAATTAACAAATAATATCCACACTTTATATAAATATACTAGCATATATCCACTAATCCACGTGACAACAACACAAGATCTTCATCCACTAATTATGGCTCGATTGGACCTTTAGGCCTACATAATTTGCAATGGACTTGGATCCCTATCCCGATTTTTAATCGGGTATCCTCACGAAGGACAGGGATGGGCAACAGAAGATCATCCCCGCCCATGCTAGACCCAAGGGGGCATAAGTTTTTCCACATTTAATTTCCCGTGGAGAATCAGTTGCAACCATCCCCGTCCCCTGTGGAAGAATTCCCTGTGGGGGAACAGGGAACGAGGCTCCACTGACATCTCTGAGTACAGTAGCAAATAGGATATCCCTTTGTTGGCTATATATACATTAAATTAAACTATCATAGCGATTCAAATTTGCAGTACTGCTTTTTAATTAATTATTTGGGTGTATAAGATGAACACATAATAGGTAGGTGGGAAAAAATCGCTGCCATCAGACTACTGATGTGATTATGTCATAATAATGCTTGTTTTCTGAATACCAGCGCGAAATAAAGTGAACTGCAAGAACAAGAAATCAATAAATCACATACAAGCGCAGGAGTTCTTGAATTGTCCCATCCGCCATAAAACTGCAAAATAAATATTACATATTAGATTAGGGAGATTATTGCAAAATCATAAATATTGAACCCTTTTCATGCAGGATATGTCCCACACGAGTGCCAATACCAAGAGGCTGGTTGGCATCTAGTAGCTAGCAGCGAACTACCAGGTACTAGCATTTTCACAGGTTAGCTTTTCTTAACTAGAAATCACGTTGACATAGGATTTTGTTTCAGAATTGGATGACATAGGACATCCTGGTCCAGGATTAGAAATCCTGGTTCCCTGATGCATAAGAATTCACATCATATCCAGGCTTACCTGTCTTCGTGGAGCTAGGAAGGCTTTCTCTAGCAAGAAGAATGCAGATCCAGCAAGTGCTCCTGCTACGTACAACTTCAGTAGAAAAGCAGGACCAAACATGTTGGAAATCTGATTCACAAAGGAAAAAAAAAGCAATTCAGCACATGCAATATAAGTAATAAATGGCCAATAGAAAATCAGAGTACAATATATATACTAGTCCCTTCATTTGGAGAACGAATCTTAACTACACTAAACATGATAAATAGAAATACTAAAATTAGAAGGGAATAGTTATATGCTATTGATTTTGTTTTTATAAAATGGATAAACCGTATCTAGTACATTCAAACCATGGTAGACATTGAATTCCCATGGCAAATCATTGCAGGATCTCTCTACCTAGCTGGCTATTTCATCAGACCTGAAAAACAGCCTCACATCTTCTCCTGCATGGTGCCTTCATCAGTCATCAATACGTACAACTCTGATTGGCTCGGTTGAATAACTAGCACAGGAAATGTCAATAACCTCTCTGTGTGTCTCTGGACTGATGGAGGGGGGCTTGGCAATGAAGTATTATAACTCTTCATTACATGTGACCTTTGCAAGAAACTAATGAAACAAAGAATTGTTTTACAAACATCAAGCCAATTTTAATTTTTTTTACTAGAGAAAAAATATAATCAAAATTTGATTGGTCAAATTCAATAATGTCAAAATAAAGAAAAATTGCTAGATCAAATTCAATACTCCACTACCAAATATATTACTCTTTCTTAATTTTACACGGTCAAGTTCACCCAGCATGAATCATGCCAACAAGTTGATGGTAATTCAGACTTGCTTGAAATATTCAACAAAAGATGCTGGAATTCAGATGAGCATATATTATAGCAACAAGATCATGTCTTGGATCAAGTGTTAGATAATGTTTTTAGTCTACACTCAACTTATGATTCTTTGACTGATTTGATAATTCAAAACAGCTATAATTCAGGTGTTTCAGAAAGCAAACTAGTAATAGTAATGATTTCCACTATATTGACAAGTCACCATATCCATTCCTTTGTTTCTATTTAGGATTTGAGAATGCATAAAGTTGCACATAGGTGCATAGAAGGACAAACTAATCCTTTTTACTTGTCGTTTAGGACATCAACATAGTCACCAATGCACTTGTTTGATCATTGTTTTTTTTAATCATATATTTATAAAGATTATCGAAGATAACTACATGAAAATCATGAAAATCTGCTGATGTCATTTGCACACATTAAATCTTAATATTTTGATATTAAAATGTTATCTATTTGATAATGGAGGGAGTACAGACTTCTGCATTGTAATAACAAGAGAGAATGGTGAGCAGCTGAACATCTTACACTTGATCCGAAGAAGTAGAGACCGATCATATTGCTGATGAGGTGACCACTCTCTGCGTGGCTGAAGGCATTCGTGAGCAACGTGTGTAACCTCCCGCTTTTGAAGTTATCAAGAGAAATCTGCTCATCAAACAATAATCAAGCCACACTTAATCAACCACTTCTGAAACAAAAGCAGAAGCTCTTCGACTGATCACTAACCATAAAATGCCTCCTCATGAAGCTAGGATCAGCCAGGTGCCATAGCATGAACACGCCCACATTGGCGCCCACGAGCATCAACACTGCCCCATCGGCGGACGGCAACCACTTCGTCCTTCATTGAACATCAAAACCAACCCAAAAAAAAATCACTAAACCACCACGAAAATCCCCCATTTCAAACCATACGAACCGAAACCTCACCAGGACACGCCGCTAAGGAACATGGACGAGGAGGGGAACCACCCCGAGGACCTGCGCCGCTGCAGCGAGAAGAGCTCGAGCGAGCCCGCCTCGCGCGCGGCCATCAGCCACCGCGCCGCGGCGGCCCGGGCGGCTGCCGCCGCCGCCGCGGCCGCCGCCGCGCTCACCGGCAGGAGCGAGCCAGTGCTGCGCCATAGGGGGAGGCGGGAGGGCGAGGCGGCCGCGGGACTGGATGGGGCGTGGAGGAATCGGTGGGGGGGGTTTGGTTGGGGTTTAGGTCTCGGGGCGGCGCGGAGGCGTAGGGCTTGCTGCGCGAGGAGCGACTGGAACTGCAGGAACCTCCTCCCCGTCGCCATTCCCGCCTAGCTCCCCGCCGCCTACTCTTCGCTCCGCCGCCGTCTCCTCCGCCTCGGGCTTTCGCGGCGGCGCGGCCGGTGGCTTTGCGCTCTCCGGTTGATCAGCTCCAATTTCTCAACTTCCGGCTTCGGGAAGGACACGGAAGGGGGAATCGCTGGGCCTACTGCTTGGGCCGCGGCCCATCAAACGTCCACGACCGCTTTCCCCGCACGTAGGCCGTTGATTTCTCGATCGAACGGCTGCTGCTGTCGCGATTGCGTAGCCGACGCAGCGAGAAGGTTTTAAGGGTAGGCGGCGCCGCGGCGGAGGGGGGCTCAGCTCGAGGAGGACGACGGAAACCTTCCCGGCGGCGCGCGAGTCTCGCGGGGGGAGGAGAGCGATGTCGAAGCGGCAGGGTCCCCCGAAGCATCAGAACCGCTACGCGTGGAAGCCCAACCTCGGGCAGAAGATCAACGAGACCGTGAGTCCTCGAGCCGCCTCCCTCTCCTTCTTTATCCTCTTTTTTTCAAGGCCTGAGTCTCACGGCTGGAATCCTCGCCGCTGCAGGAGCCCGGCGGCAGGTTCCGTCCTTTGTCGGAGATCACCGGCGTCTGCCAGCGCTGCAAGGACCAAATCGACTGGAAGAGAAGGTCGGGAGTCCCCTTCTGTAGTCGTCGTTAATCTTAGCTCGTAATTTTAGCTTCTTGGCCTCTCGGTCCGATCTGTTTGTCTCTTCTTGGCAGATACGGGAAGTACAAGCCTATCGTTGAGCCGGCAAAATGGTACCTTCTCTTGCCCTTTTTCGTAATTATCGCACTCACTCGATTGATGGAACTATGGAGGAGTGGGCAGTGATGGATGCTGATAGTTCTCGTTTGGTTTTTGCAGTCAGAAGTGTGGGAAACGGAACGTCCGACAGGCGTATCACAACGTCTGCACGGGTGAATTTCGGCTACTCCACCATGTCGTCTTTTGCTATGATGGTGTTGATGTTGTTACTGATTTCTCTGTTGCATATGCTCAATGCAGCTTGCTCCAAGGACCTTGGGATTTGCGCGAAGTGCTGCACTTGTGTTAAAGCGCTTGTCGGAAGGTGATCCCTGCTTGTTTACTATGTTGTGGTACTAGTATTAGCATAACCAAATGATATCCTAACTTTGAAACTTAGGTGGCTAACAATTTTCTACCATTTTCTAGGGATCTTAGTGAACAGGAGAGTGAGCGCAAGGAACTAGAGGAGGTTTGGTTGTGCTATATTTGAATGGAGATTGTTGTGAACGTTTTCTTTTGTGCTGACTATTAAATTATTTTGTAGGCCATAAGAGGTGCTAGGGAGAGGGAGAGGCGCACACTTCTTCGCCTTGTGAGTACTTACTATGGCATGTTTTTAATGATATATCTTTATCTGATTAGGTATAGCGAATGTTTGTCTTCAAGGGATGCCTAATCACAATATATGTTTCCCATGATATCTGAAGGCAGCACTGCAAGAAATTAGAACAAAGATTTTGTCATAATTGTATTGTTTGATTTATCATTTGAAAATAATCCCCAGTTCACCACAGTATTTCGCATATACCCTTGAATTTTTCCCTTTTATGTGTTTCTTTGGATGCATCGTTATTTTGGACAACTTAAATTATGGAGATCTCTAAATTATGTGTATTCTAGTATTAAGGTGCCACTGCCTTTGTTTCGATGTCCAAGTTGAATGAATTAATATTATGCACCTTCTCTTCTTGTGCTATTCATGGTTTTTGTTGTTCCAATATGTAGCATTAAATGTGAATAGAACTTTGATTGTTTTAAATTCTTGTACACAATTGTTTGCTCTGGCATCAGTGGTTCGTTTAACTGTAAGGATTCTTTACAGGTCTTTATCTGGAGTTCTATTATATTGCTATACATTAAATCTGAGCATGTGAATATAAATGGCTGGTCCATGTTCTAAAGTTTCACCTGTCTTGAAACATTTTGACCTGTAATTACTAATTAGTAGTATCAGTTAAGATTGTTTTATACCCCGCTCCCTGTAGAATGTAAATATGATCTGTTAATTTAGCTTTTCAGGTATGGAAAAAGAAAAACATAGCATGCTTGCTTAGAATGGTTGCAATATCAAGATCCATAGTACATGAGATGTACTATTATTATTATTCAGCTTTGGAACATCAATTCTTAAACAAACTGGTTGCCAAACTTTTGACTTGAAATTGTCGAGATGAAAGTGCATTAAGATTCCAAATTATCATGGTACCTTATTGGAACTGAAGCCTTAGCTTATTATTCTAATTTTCATTTTGGTAACCAAATGGAAATCATTTTTTTAGAATTGCTGGTCCATTTAGTTATTCACGTGAACTAGTAATTCCATGCATATTTATTAACATCAACATTTTGTTGCAGATGAACAAAGGTGGCGGGGAGAGCGGACCGTCGGTTCCAAAGATTGCTGACAGAAGTCGTGAAGGGGACATTTTCCCTGCTGCATCCCTTGACGAATATGCTGAACAAGCTAGACAGCAAGATGATTCAGATGAAGAAGAGGCCAGGGATTTTGTAGAAGATTAATTTTAGAACTCAGAAACCTTTTCTTTTGCAAAAGGATTTATATAGCCTTATGTGGTGATTTACATTACATGGTGGGTAATCCCACCCACTGCGGAAAACAAGTGTATTAGTTTTGGCAGATATATTTCCGTCTATCAGATGTTTATCAGTGTGTGCTCCCATTCCGTCTGTGCTTGTTCAAACTGAAGAATTGGAAAGTAGCATATATTGCGGTTTTTCCGGTTTACATGTCTTTTCCCCATAATGCAGCTTATCGGTGTGTCCGGAACTCCGGATCAGCTTTTTTTTATTATTATTCCGAGGAAAAGCTCTTCTATTATTCTCTTTTTTACCAACTTATTGCGTGCATGATGCCCTTGAAGATGTTCTCTGTTCTGTTCTTCCCTCCATGTCAAGCGAGGTTGTTTTCTTCATGTTTACGGTTTTATTTAGCGGGCTGCCAAATTTTTCGTATACATTGAAACGTTAAAAAGTATACTATTGTTACTAAGGCTGTGTTTAGTTCACGCTGAAGTTTGGAAGTTTGGTTGAAATTGGTACAATGTGATAGAAAAGTTGTGTGTGTATGAAAGGTTGATGTGATGGAAGGTTGAAAGTTTGGAAAAAAAAACTTTGGAACTAAACAGGGCCTAAGAGCACCCGCTATGGTAAAGTAGGGTGCTCTCTATAAAACATGTACATCTCAGCAATAGACTAGATTAATAGTAAATCACCTCAATAGTATGTCTACATAGGTATCTATAGCTCTCTCATGCATTGCCTCGTTTTTCTCTATAGACTATCTCTAATCTAGTAGATAGCTTTGCTCTCTCTCTTCATTTAATATCTTCCAAGTAGGAAAATATGCTGACATTGATCTCTTATAGATAGCTTATAGATAACCATTGTGGGTGCCCTAAGAGCATGTCCAATAGCAGGCTATAAGCCAGCTGCAAACATATTTTAAGGAGATAAATAAAGAGAAAGAAGAGCAGCAAGCTACAGATTTGTATTTTAAGGAGATAAATAAGGAGAGAGAAGAGCAGCGAGCTACAGATTTGTAGCTAGCTGTAGCACGGACTCTAAGACGCAATGTGTGTTTGACAGGTGGGACCAGGTATTAATAGTGTAGTATGTAACTATTGTATGGATGAGCTATTAGATTGGTTATAGATGAATTGTAGCTACTACTTAGCTATACTATTAAGCTTGCTCTAACAGGGGCTTCCTTCTTGTAGCTCGGGTTCATTAACCCAAAAATCTTGCCCACGTTTGCTACTGTCATGTCAGAGCATGGCCAGGACATCAAAACCTTCCATAACAAAACACGCAAAAACAGTAAACAAGTGTCTCGGCAATTCGGCATCGTCCGCCGCCCGGTGCCGTTGTGTGCATTCGTCTCCCATGATCCCATATCCCGTCGGCGTCGAGACATGGACCAGACTCCCTCCGCCAGTGCCGCACCTGTTCCTCCTCCCCCTCTTTCAAACAAAAGAAAACAAACGAGATCTCATCCGAACAGTAGAACCCACCACGTAACGTTACTCTCATCTCGTGCCAAATCAAAGCAAGGCAGGCAAGCAAGAGGCCGTTCGAGCTGCGGGGACGATATGCAACGGCCGGCCCAGTCGAGATCGGGAGGGCCGGAGGGGGAGTGGTGCGGCCGGCGGGTGCCCTGCACGTGAGCGACGCAGCCGCCTGCGCCCGTCACGCGCGCTCCCGCACGTTCCCGACGTTGTGCCCTCTGCCTGCGGCCGCGTGTCTCGCCAAATGGGCCCCGACAAATCCAAGCCGCTGATACACACCAATCGCTTTCCCCGAAATGCCCTCCCCAAAGTTGGAACCCTTTTTGGTTGCCGGCACACTGCCCGCACCACCGGTGGTTGGCACGGGTTGGATATGGACCAGCTGTGACTATTCCGGCGATCGAGTGGTGTTCTTGATTATAAACCCTTTGTGTTTCAAGAACCTTTTCTTTTTAGTTTATAAACCCTTAGTACATGACTGAAGTTTTATGATGCTAAGCGATATTTGTTAAAAATAAATGATGCTAAGCGATATGACTCCACTAGTATACGAGTGTTGATTTAATGTTAAATATTATAGTTAACACTTAAGATCTTAACAAGAAAGAAAGGGATTGTTTAGTAGGCGGACAACGGCGGCTATGGCTATGCCGTCGTTGTGTGCGTGCATGGCACTGTTGATGTCGAGTATAGTGCAGTCACAAATCTAGCAGCCGAACAAACAAAAATGATAAATATGCATCCGTGCATTATGACAGAATATTTTAAAAAATTATAACACATCTAAAAACCTAAAACTATTTAATTACCAAACTATTCACGTGATGAGATGAAAAGTGCTGAGCAGTCAACTATATCGATAATAGACTATAAGTTTTGCATGGATTATTGCCCCATAAGCAGCGATGGCCCATCACCGTCCAAAAAGAAGTTTTTAAAGTAGTGATATAGGTTTCTAGTTAGAGAAAACAACAAAGGTAATGGTCACATCGTTAAAGATTTCATAACGATATCTTTATTTTTTCGGCAATAGATATAACGGTTACAAAGTCATTTAATAAACATTTTAGCGGTAACATGGTTCACGTCATCTTATTTTGCACTTCAATTTAGCGCACAAATAATACACGTGGATCAAATTACTTGGCAACCAGGGGCAGCATAAACAAAGCTGACTCCAGAGTGAGGGCATTTTGGTAAACTCCGGACAGAAAGGCAGGCGGAGTCATCCACAGTCCGCACCATTCCCCCGGCGCTGCAAGCAAAAACATGCCCAAAAGAGCACACAACCTTGGCTGGAGGCGGCGGCAGGCCGAATCTCCTTATCAGTCCGGGATAACCCCAAGCTCTCTCTCCCCCTCCATCCCTTTCCCCACTCACCAGTAGCCACCACCACATCTCGCAAGGCCAAAAGCCCTAGCCACCGTAGTAGTAGCTAGTAGCTATAGCAAGGTAGAGAGAGCGCTCTAGATCTCTCTCTCGCGGGGCGCTGGGCAGATCGACCTGGCGATGGCGACCAAGGGGAATAAGCTCGGGGAGGTAATGTGGGAGCACCGGCTGCAGGCGGCGGCCGTGGTGGCGCTGGTGGCGGCCACGGTGGTGTCGATCTCCGCCATCGGGCCCAGGCTCGGCGCCGTGGTCTCCTTCTTCTGGCCGCTGCTCGTCTCCACGGGGTTCTTCCTCGTGGCCGTGGCCGTCCTGCTCCGGATCTCGCCGCCCCCCTCCAGCACCATCGACGAGTCCGGCAAGGAGCTCATCGACTTCGTCGCCGGGTGCCGCCCGGAGCACCACCCCCCGGAGGCGGCGGAGGCCGCCGTGGACGTGCCTCCGGAGCCGGAGATCTAGAAAATCGAGGGTGGCGGGCGTGGCGCGGGCGGCCGGCGGAATCAGCGGCGCCTCGTCGCCGGGCGGCGGTGGGGTTGTGTGGGGTAATCGCCAGCATGGGCCCACCTGGAAGTGCGTGCCACCCCCGGTGTACGGTGCGGCCGTGGGCTCTGTGTTAGCGTAGGATTCCGCCTCCGTTGTGGTCCGGGGTGTACAATACCATTCTCAATAAAAACATGGCATAAATTCGTCCTAGTACTACTCGGTATCGACTTCCATTATGATCGCGTCTTGCTTTGAGTTGATGCAACGCAGGTTCGCTGTAACGCCATGAAGATGAAGGCGAGAGTCTTAAGCAGTTAAGCTATACTTACGCTCGAAGAATATGCGAGTCTGCCAATCCTCCTCGAGCCTCAAAATTCTCCTCTTCATCCCGCTTTAGAAAGCTAGATTCACTCATCGAGAGCTGAAAGCAAAAGAAATGGTGCAATTGTAAATCTCATTTCGCATCATTGATGTTCCGTGAGAAAAGCTATAAAGACGGAAAAGAGAAATGGATTGATAGTAGCGTGGTAGCAGGATGCCCTTTCGGCGTAATCGGAGACCGACACTCTTTCGGTGTTAAGGAGTTGCTAAACCGGTCACTCAGCCGTCCAGTTTTGCTCGTACGCGACGCCGGTTCGGACGGTCACGGACGCGCGTTTCTCCCATCGTTGTCGCCGTAGTAGGACCCCGTCTTACTAATTCTCATCTGTTATCGAGCGGACGCAGGCCTGATGGTCACTGTCACGAGGCTGAACTTGATACGGTTTTTATAAAGGAAGACGAGGCCGTCATGCTATATTCTCTGGTGCATAGGTCAATGCGTCTGACGTGGCCACCGCGTGGTCTGGTCGGGTGCTTCCATGGTGCTGACGTAATGGTCTCTTTGAGCTTTGGATTCCATGGTGACATTTCTTGGCACAAATGAATTTAGTTGGGGCATTTCTTTTCTTGAATATGTTTTTTTTTCTTGAACAGGTTGAAGCAGGTTTTACTAGCTACGTAGTTATATGCTAATGAGCCAATTCTATTGATTAACTGACATCGAGAGGACGATAGGAGAAGAAGGTGACCGGACACCGAAAAATGCACAAACATTTTTGTCTCGAATGGATTTGAATATGGTCATGATGGATGTGAAGTTCTGTAGTTAGTAAATACTCCATCTGTTCTAAAAAAATGAATCTAGAACTGTCCAGATTCATCATATCCTAGTACGATATTTGATTTTTCTTTTGGAACAGAAGAAGTATGTATTTTCCAATAACTTGAAAGACACACATGCACACACGTCATCACGCACGCACATCACAGTCACACATCCTCGCAAACACGCTAACACACGCTCAAACAGAAGAGGCTAACGGCGTAACTGCGACATCAATAATAAATTCTAATTGATAAAGCTACAACTTGTGCACAATATCTATGGACGTTAGGATTTAAAACCTTAGCAGACAAGATTATGCACCTATGACATCACTAACACATCATCGATGGTTCCTGGTTAGAAAACTATCAACAACATAACAAACATATTTTTGTCTCGAATGGATTTGAATATGGTCATGATGGATGTGGAGTAGTTAGTAAATACTCCATCCATAAAAAAAACGAATCTAGAACTGCATGTGTCCAGATTTGTCATATCCTAGTACGATGTTTAGTTTTTCTTTGGGAATGGAAGAAGTATGTCTTTTCCAATAACTTGAAAGACACACATGCACACACGTCATCACGTACACACATCACGATCACACATCCTTGTGAACAGCTAACACACGCTCAAACAGAAGAGGCTAGTGGCGTAACTGCTACAACTTTTGCGCAATATCTATGGACATTAGGATTTAAAACCTTAGAATACAAGATTATGCACCTATGACATCACTAACACATCATCGATGGTTCCTAGTTAGAAAACTATCAATAACATAGCAAACATATTTTTGACAATGTTATCCTACTAAATTTTGGTGTTACTTATGGTGCTTCACAGCTAGCCAAATGCTACCTAAATTTCCAAGACCACCAAATGTATTTTACACAGTGATATCTTACAAAAAATGATAATTTTGAAAATGTCCACCACTAAATATAGTACTGCAATTATTAAATGTTCTGAACCAGATTTACCGAAACACGTACTACTTGTTGTAGCAGTGAGGACTAGGTGTCATACCTCCTATTCGACCAAGACACGACTTCAGGCCTTGATGGGCATATTCCTGAGTTTCAAAGCAGGTGACAAAAAAAGAGTTCAAGTTGCTATGGACGGAAACATGTTAATTGGGCAAATAGTATTCAAGCTTGTTATAGAAAGGCAAGCGGTGCGTGGAGGATGGAGAAGAAGCTTGGCGGCTACGTTACCCAGCAAGAATATTCTCTTACAAGTTCCCTAGGGTTTCTAGTCCTTTGGATTATCCATGTAACTTCGCATGTAACTACCATGGCTATATAAGCCGATCTAATTATATAGCAACACGATTTATACTTTACTGAAATAGCGATCATGAGTGTCATTTGACTCATATCAAGCTCATCTCGTTACAAGGATAGGCGAGGGAAACACTTCCTCATCTATCCCCATTATGTTCATGACGTTGGGTCACAACTTAGGGAAGACTACGCGTCGGATGTATGGAGAATTAAAAAAAATCGGACATACCCCAGTACCTACCATTGTTGCATGCACCGAACGAATCTGCCCTATCGATTTCATCGGTGCTTATTCCTACATGATTACTCTCTTCACCACTCTCTCTCCTCTATGACCACTTTATCAACAACCTATAAACAATTTTTCCTCTTAAATTCTTTATCTGATCTACCATCTGATTACGTCGTTATACTTATAGCAATTAAATCTTTACAATAAGATGTCACATGAATATATTTTGATTATATATATATATATATATATATATATATATATATATATATATATATATATATATATATATATATATATATATATATATATATATATATATATATGTTCCAACTAGTGAAATTTGATGTTTCATGCGAGGGAAGCAAATGTTTCACATGAAATTCGAGTTTGTTGCAGATTTTAAGTTTTCTTTGTTGCGATATTTATTTAATTTTAATGTTGCACATGGTGTTGTTTGGATGGTTTAATAACTATTTTCTTATGTTTCACTTATTCATTTGAAATGTTGCACATGGTATTCTTGGGATATTTCAACAAATGTTTTGTAATGTTTCAACAATTATAAGTCGATGTCATGTATAATGTAAAAATATTTTAGTTAGGATTTAACAATATTATTTTCCTTATTTATTTGTTCTTCTACATGTGTAGGAACATGTATACGTAAATATCTAGATCGTTCAATTCTCTCGGCCAAATAGTGTCGATACGTGCAACACAGTAAAATGCTTGTTGAAACATTTTGCTCATATGCATGAAACATCAAATATAAACAATTGAAACATATACATACTTTTTATTAGAATATAGTCAAACGAGATGTCATTGTAAAGATTTAATCATAAGAAACATAATTGTATAATAAAATTATAGATTAGATAAATTGTTTAGAAGAAAAATCATTTTAAACAAGGAGGTGGGAGAGATAAAAAGCTAATAGTTGGTTACATCATATCCATTGCATGCTGCAGCTCATCACATCACATCCTTCCATGCTTTGTTGCATGCTGCCATTATCTCCACCATAAATAATCCATTTTCGTGCTACGTTTTGCTTGCTCCGACGGAATGTTCGATTTTTTGTCGGGCGTCGGATGTCTGATAAGAAGCATTTTCGTCACAACTCACAACACAACCTAAAAAAAATAGCAGTCCAAAAGTGTACCATAATTTAGAAAGGAATAAGTCCATTTTGCCTCCCTCATCTCTTGCGCTTGCGTGAATAACATCCCTCAACCGGAAAACCGGGTATAATGCCTCCTTCTTCTCTGAAAACCAGAGCAAATCACCTCCCTCGGCGGTTTCGGAGGTGGTTTTGTCCTACGTGGCGGGTTGACTTCCATATGGCATCGACGTGGCGCTTACGTGGCACTAAAATAAAAACAAATGTAAATAGGACCCACATGTTAGTGAGTAAAACAATAAAAATAAAATATTGGGCCCACATGTCAGTTACCTTTCCCCTTCCTCTTTATCCTCACGGCAAGCGAGATGGAGAGAGCTAGCTCGGCGGCAGCAGGACGGCGGGTGCTCGGTGGAGCGGCGGGGCGGCGGGAGCTTGGCGGAGCAGCGGGGCGGTGGGAGCTCGGTGGAGCAGCGGGAGAGTCGGGGCGGCGGGAGGTCGGTAGGAGCTCGGTGGAGCGGCGGGAGAGGCGGGGCGGCGGGAGCTCGGCGGAGTGGCGGAATGGCGGGGCGGCGGGAACGACAGGGCGGCGGAAGCTCGGCGGAATGGCGGGGCGACGAGAGCGGCAGGAGTGACGGGGCGGCGGGAGCTCGCTGCCTCCCCTCCCACGCCCCTCCTCCGCCACCTCATCCCTATCCTCGCCTCTTCGGCCTCGCCGCCGCCTCTTCTTCTCCTTCCCCGGCATCCTGGCGAAGATGGACGCCGACGGATACGCAAAGTTGGCATGGTAGGATGCAGCACAGGGGTCGTCGACCACGCGTCGCTAGTCCGACGTGGACGGAGCCAGAACGCCGCCACCATGACCTTCCCGCGCTTCGGCGTCCTCCATCCAACATTCGGCACTCTTCTCGCTGCGCCGGCAGCGACTGGTAGTGTCGCCATCCAATCTTGCGTTGGGGCAGCAGGCAACAATTGGCCGATGACGTGTGATCATCGTAGGCGCGTCCTCTTCGTGTCACGGCGATCCTCGTCGCCGTAGTAGCCGTAAGCAGCACCACAACAGCCGTAAGGCACGCCGTAGTACATGTAAGGATCAGCTCCGAATGGCACGCCGACGCCGAAGAAGGGGTCGACGTAGCCTGGCGCCGGGCCGAACGGGAAGCCATAGCTGCCGTGGTGATCGCCGTCGACGGCGAGGGCTCCATATTCTGTGGAGTGGTCACCCGCCACCGTCTCCCACGCCTTTCTTGGTCCGAGGACACCTGATGAGATCGTGGCGCTTTTCTTGGAAGACACGTTACTGCGGCTCACCTGCGAAGCGGCCAGGCTCTGCGGCGCCGCCTCTGTCGCGTTGCTGCTGGCGGAGCTCCTTGGCTTCTCGGTTCCACTTGAAACGCTCGCTGTGCCGCTGGTGGTGGCGAGAACGTTGGCGATGGTGGTGCGGAGCGTTGGGTTGGGGATCAGGTCGTCGACGCACGCCTGCGCCCCGCACGCGCACTTGGACTTGGCGGCGATGTGGTCCCGGATGCACCAGTCGCAGAAGCTGTCGAAGCAGCACTTGCTCGCCAGCACCGCGTCGGCCATCACGTTTCGGCAAATCTTGCAGTAGAGTTCCGATGAGATGACGCCGCTAGATCCCCCGGACGGCGTCCTCCATTCGGCACTCATCTCGCAGCTGCCACGGGGGATGGAAAAGATAATAGAGGAAGAGGAGATAAGTTGCTGACAAGTGGGACCCACAAGTTGACTCAGCTGCCATGTAGGACAAAACCGTCTCCGAAACCGCCGAGGGAGGTGATTTGCTCTGGTTTTCAGAGAAGAAGGAGGCGTTATACCCAGTTTTCCGGTTGAGGGATGTTATTCACACAAGCGCAAGACATGAGAGAGGCAAAATGGACTTATTCCATTTAGAAATACAAAATTTGGTAGGGTTGGCTTAGGCAACCAACCAACCCAAGCCAACCAAAGAAGCCCTCAAATCTTTGTCTCGGCCCATAATGGCCAGCGTTTATGGCTCACTTCTAATGGGCTGTGGCCCACCTGAAACAGAAGAGTATCGTGTAGGCGTATATGCCCACTCGTTAAAAAGTGGCCACTCTCTGACAAGTGGGCCACATCGGAACACTCTTGACTCCCCTCCAGGCCTCCACGGCTCCACCTCCTTCCGCTTTCGCCTATCCGCCGTCTCCCCCCTCCCCCTTCCTCGGCTCCTCGCCATCTCGCGCTCGGCCGCCTCTCTCCCTGCTTAAACCCTCTATTCGTCTTCTCCAAGCAAAACCAAAACCCGAGCCCACCCACCGAGGTCCTCTCCCCCTCCTCTCGCTGGGCCACCACGCCATGGACGGCGTCGCGAGGTCGCGCCTCCTCGTCCCGCTCCTCCCCAGGATCTCCGCCCGCTCCTTCTCCGCCGCCTCCCCCGCGTCAGAGCCAGCGGCGGCTGCGGCGGCCGTCGCCGCCTCCGACGCGGCCGCCGCCACGGACTACTCGTCCTCCGCGGGCGATCCCTCGTCCGCGCCGCCCCCGCCGGCCCGCAAGCCGCTGGGCCTGCTCAAGGGCGGCGTCCTCGCGGTTGTCGCCGCCGCGTTCGGCGCCACAGGCTACGTCAGCTATGGTGCGATCTCTGATCCCTAAAACTCCTAGATGCCTCTCGGCCCTGCTACTTCGCATTGCAGTGTTTCTACTACCATTCTCAATTTTAAAGTGGGAGGGGTTCGGTTTGGTGCTGTGCGTATGATTCGTGCTCGTGTTTTTGTCTTGTGTAGCTTATTCTCTGGATGAAATTGATCAGAGGACGCGGGAGTTCCGGAAGAACTCGAAGCAGCCCATCCGTGATGACCTGTCCGGTTTCGAGGTAATATGGTAGCATGTCAATATGTCATGTTTGGGTGTGTGATAACTTGTCGCTAGCTGGTTAGTAGCGTGACTGCATAAGTAAGCAGTGATGCCCTTGGAAATATGACCGCATAATTCTGATTTCCTGTGTAAAAAAACTTGGTTTCATGGGGTGAATATTTGTACACAGCTATAGGGTAGTTGAGATTTGGGCATCTGAAACTAAAAGTTATTCTAGTACGACACAATATGTTCTATTGTAGACCTGCATTCTGAGAGTATGGATAAAAGCTAAATTTCTGAATTGGGTTAAAGAATTTGGATTTCAGCCATGTCTAATAGACGATTTGCTTCCTCTCTGCAGAAGTTTCAGGCTATGGCTTATTCAGCAGCTATGAAAGGTTCTGACCACATGACTCCTTCATTATCTTACCATATTACCTCGGGATTATAGAGTTTCAACATGTCATGCATACCTTTCTTCATCCACATCAGGAGCAATTTACCATTACATGTTATTTTTTCTTTGTAAAATACTTGTTTGCAGCCAACCTTAGGGAAATTTACCCTGCTTCACAGTGAATAACTAAGCCTTGTCACTCTCTGAAATATAATTTTGTATGCACTAAAGTAATGGTAGTCAGAAAGATCTACTTTACTGTATGCATGGTGCTGTTGTTAAGCTGACAATAAATTCCAAATATGTAACCCAAACTTCACAACTGGAAAAAAAAACTAGGGGTACTATAATCTCGTGTAAAATAGCTAGGGAATACCCACTTTGTGTAACAATCAGTTAGCTAGAGCAACTGTGATCTAACCATTATACTATTTACATGCGCTGCACCTAGTTGCTACGGAGGGCATGTGTCTTTGGTACAAAGCTGTTTGTTAAATATCTAGTAAATTGATGCATTGTCTAGAGCGCTCTATGGCTCTAGACAAACATACACCACAGGGAAGAAGCATGGTATGAGTGCCCTAGATAGCAGGGGTTCGTCATTTAACCCTTTCATGTACTATAAATTGTTATCCTCCTGTTTGCATGGCATAATTATTGTTGTTCCTTTTCTTTGCGTCTCAATTCTTAAACACATATGTTTTGTTTTGCAGTTCCTGTTGCTGCTATTGAGTTCTATTTGGATACCAGGAGCCAAATAGAAGATCAAATTCGGGTCAGTAAAAAATATTAAATCTTTTGTTCTCCATTATCCATGTTGGCTATTGTGAACAGACGTGCAGATCATGCTAATACTCATTTTTATTAAAGGGCTTTAGTGAACCATCATCAGATAAACTTCTTCCGGATCTACTTCCTCAAGAGCAGCATGTCTTCACCCTAGTTCTGGATCTGAATGAGACTCTTGTATACTCAGATTGGAAGGTGAACATTTATGTTTTCTACGAAGTTACTTATCTTGGTATTTGATATGTAGTCCTTATGTAGTATACAATATGACCCAATCCTAACAGTTACGCAAACTCTTAACGCTCTGGCTTCCCCGTCTCTCCACAAATTTGCACTTGAACTTTACCATCTGTGCTGTATGGCATAACTCGAAAGTGCTCATGCTGATTTTGTTTTGGATCTCTGATTCTCTGGTTTTACCAGAACTGTTTTGTTACACGGATTTGAGAACCTAATGCCTTATTAAATTTCGTTTGGGACACATAATAAATATGTTATGTGATCCAAACAAAGTTTTAGGTTGTTAGCCTCTAAAATCTTTTTTTTACAAGATCTAGTCTTGGACTCTTGGTACAACCAGAGATCCAAACAGGCCCTAAGTATCGTAATCCCCATTCAGATTGATCTAAAAAGGGATGGTTATTTAAAATGGTTTTACTTATTTGCTTGTTCGATTGGAAGCTTGTGATCATTTTTCTTCAGTTCACTCATCTATCAATTGTATCTCTGTTCTCCTATATCAACTTTGATCTAAATTTAAACTTCCTAAGAAACAATATATACCGTCTTTTTGTGCTCTCTCTCTAGAGAAGGGTAATCACTTTCTGTATGTCTACTGCAAAATTGCCAAACTATTGTGGAAGTCCTTATGTTTTCTAGTTAAGTTTTCAAGCATGCATATCATATAGTATAAAATGTTTATGACCCTTGGGAGGCTGCTTGACCCATAATTTCTTTTATGTATGTATAGCGTGAGCGAGGATGGAGAACTTTTAAGAGGCCAGGAGTGGATGCCTTTTTGGAACATCTTGGAAAATTCTATGAAATTGTTGTGTACTCTGATCAGCTGAGTATGGTAGGTTTACCAGAATTTCCTCAACAATTTGGTTGTTTCTGAAAAATATATAAACCCAGATGAACTTTTTTTACATGGACAGTATGTTGATCCTGTTATTGAAAGACTGGATCCAAAGGGCTGTGTTCAGCACAGGTTATCAAGAGTTGCAACTAAATATGAAAATGGAAAACACTATCGGGTATGGTAGTCTTATGCTCTTATCATCTGTTCTCTTAGTTGTATTATACACTGGTTGAAACAGTTTCATATATTTATCCTTTAAGCACCCTTTTGGTAAGCTAAGTTGCACACTAGCTTGTTCTATGTTTTTTTGGATAGTATTGTGATTATTGAGTAACTAACTGTATGCTACGCATATGTATGCATGAGATGGATTAGAATGTGTTTTATGTTCTTCAAATAACTGGCAGGAGTGAAAATTGATGTTATGACAAAGTTGTTTCTGTCCATGCATTAAGCATATACCACTTTGTCCACTTTGCTCTCTGGGATCTGGCTTTCATGACCGAGAGAACACATCATGTTTTATCTTGTATAGTTTCCTCTTATACAGTAAAAATGTCTACAAATCATATCAATCCAACATGATGGGTTTATATTGTATTGTAAATAATTCTGGTTTTTTTTCGTACTCCTATTAAAATTTTCCTTCCAATGTTCATTGAATGTAATAAAATCTTTGAATTGGAGTAGTCATTTCTTATCTGCATCTTGGCCAAGGCCTTTGCCCTTCTCCTGTGAAGTAAGAAGACCAGTGCGGTGAGCTTCCCTAAATGCTTCGGTGCAGTGGAACCTTGATAGCCGTGGCATGCGTATTAATTTTATGGTGGGTCATTCAAATAACTACTTAAAGGGGTGTTATATTTTTATGGATTACAGAACAAAACAATTGCTTATTTTCGAACATTACTGTAGAAGTAAAGAACAAACATAAGGATAAAGAGAGGCTTTATCATCATTAGTCGAAAGACTGGACAGTACATAGCAGCAAAACAATTGCTTGCAATTTATTTATTTAGTTATTCTTTATCCGCAAGCCGACCTAAGAGGATTCTGCCGCATTATAAACGTCTTGGTAGCTCTTGTATTGGATTGGAGTGAATGCACCGAACTCATCTCCTCTATTATGCTTGAGCCTCTGAGCCTCTTCTCTTGAGATGCGATATGCATTTGCTAGAACATCATTTGGGAGAGCACGGAAGATGGAACTCTTTCCTGCAATGTGGCTTACCATAGAGTTAGGATTGGTCTTGAATGCAATGTAAGCACATCCTTCTCTTTGTGCCTTCTTTACAACTGCATAGTGTTGTGGTATAATAAGCAGCTGTCCGCGGCGAAGCTCGCCGTTGAACACTGTCTTTCCATTGTTGTTGACAACTTGAACCCGGGCACGGCCTTGAGTAATATACACGACGCTGTGAGCGTTGATGTTCCAAAATGGTGAAAGGAGTGCATTCTGCAATAGAAAAGGTGCACATCATTAGCATATTGTGTGCATTAAAGCTTTTACCAAGAAAAAAATGTGCTGTTCATTTTACCTGGTATAGATTTACTTTGACTGCACTCATCTGTACAAGACTAAGAATGGGGAAATTCTGGGTGTTGAGATTTGTAACCCTTCCAGCTCTTGGATTGTATGTATCAGCACGGTTAGGATTATCGATGTTTTGCCTTACCCTCAGGGTGCAAAAGGTCTCATCCAAACCGTTAGAGCAGCCACTTCCATATTGACTTTGCTGATATTGTCCTTCTTGATAACGCTCTCTTGATTGCACTTGTCCTTGTTCCTGCTCCTGCAATGATGCATATGGCTGCAGCAAACTGAGCCCGTGTTCGACACGGACAATTTCTCCTCTTTGGTCATTTTGACATTGGAGCTGCCTTGCCACTTGGCTGCTTACGCCAAGAGCCTCGCTAAGTAGTTCAGTGCTAAAGCCACTAAATATGTTCTGTGACCGCTCCTCAACCTCACGCCTGTATGCTTGAGGGTTTCTCTTATTTCCAGCTAACAAGAAATCCTAACAGTTGATTAAAAGGCTAAATCATCATCTAAGATAAGTGGAATAAAAATATCAAAATAGTAGTAAAAATGTTTAGCTTTGGAAAAGTTCTGCTTAATTACCCTTTGCCTAGGGTCAAGTTGATTAGCACCGTTGTTGAGATCAGTGACATATATGGCAACAACTGGCACTTCACCATCATTGTAGCACCAATGAGCTACACCAGCAGGCAATGCAATTACATCTCCTTGTCTGAAACGGTGGATCTTTTGATGTTCATCCTTGAACTTTTGACTTTGGCTTTGACTTTCGGTCAATTGGGCTTGGCCTGATTGTTGGAACTGTTGTTGGTAGGACTCAGGACAGCCTGGGAAAGTTGGCCCTGTTATACCTCTCCCTGAAAGTATGGCATGCATGTTAATTACAAGCAATATAAACATGGAAGCTGATCATTAATTCATTATGCACTTAAATTGTTGCACGAACCTTGGATGATATATACTAGAGATGCACCATTAGTGTAATGGGGTAGTAGAAGGCCTCTAGGTTCAATAACTCGACGGACAACAGATACTCCGGTACATTGAAATTGCTCATTAGAGACATCGAAGAACTCAGTTGTGCCAGCTTGAGACCTCACACTCCGAATTGGCTCAAATGCTTGCAACCTATCGAACCTGCATTCTCTTGGACTTCCACGACGAGAACTCTGCCATTGACTAGTGCTCTGGCCTAATAGCTGCTGGGCTAGAGAGCCATTGCACAAGAGGAACAAGCAAACTGTGAAGAAAACTATGGGGCGATTTATGGATGCCATGTTGTTGTAGTACTAATGAACTTGAATGGTTTTGTGAGAAACAATGCTAAATCATTGTGCATTTATAGTGAGATAAAGTCTCATGCATTTGAATGTTAAGATAGAGTTTGTTAATGTCCAGACATGAAGTGACTCATGATATATGAAGTGTGGTACACGGAAGGTGGATGGATAATGATGGATGTGTAATTGACACATCATTTGTATTGTTCTCTCTTTCTTTCTTTTGCAATATGACATGGATGATGTTAAAGATTATATCCATGCATGCTTTTGCTTTTTGTTGCTGTGCCATAGCTTTCTATTTCTTTTTGAACATGGTTGTTGGTGATCATGACTTATATCTTGAAGCTCTGTTCTAGCAATACTTTAATATTTAGTGAAGAGTTTTTAGGGTGGTCACATGTTGACACGATCAACACCGAGACCTGTGAGTTTTTGGATTGTTGCATGATATATGGGCCACAGTAGGCATGTGAATTTTTTTTGAGTCATGGCTTGTCTTATAAGCTCTCCTCTTTTCGCAACATGACATATAGCTCTGTAGTTTTATGTACACATCCTTTTGCTTTATCTTGCTTGACTCTCTGGTTTGTCATGTGTTACACCCAATTGTCATCAGTTATGACTTATGTATGGGAAGTTCTAACACTTTAGCTTAAGATACTTACCTAGATGACTAGAAATGAATAGGTTGACAGAGGCATGAAATGATGCATGACTTGCTATGTCATAGATTATATCTTCTTTTGCATTATGTCGTGGAGAATGCCAACTTTGCACATTAAACGCTTGCATGTTTCATTGCTTAAGGGTTTCTTATCCTGGGTGATAACATTCAAGGCTCATTGAGAACACACTGCTCATAAAAATGTTCTTTTTTTATTTCGTGGTCCCATAATGCTCACACATTACTCATAATATTGTTTCATTTTCTAACACCATCTTCTTTCATTACTTTAGTTTATTCTGTACTACAGAATACAACAAACTGTCTTGTGCATATTTTGGTGTTTCATTTGGGTTGCCTACACCATAATTAACTTCTCATTGCCATGTGCAAAAATCTTCATCCTACTGCTAACTAACTCTTTGAACTGCACGGCACCTATCGAAAAGCTCCCTCTCCTTATGACATCGTCAGTTGTTCTTCTCAGCAGGTTGCTGTCATCTTAGACTTTTCTTGCAACAAATACTTTACATAAGGTGTGAACTAGTAGCTGGTAGCATTATTTGGCTGGGGTAAATATCATTGCATGTTCTATTGCTCATGACTGTTACTTAAAGTTAACAGTGTAAGTCCAAAGTCTGGATCACCCTGTATCTACAATTTCTTCAATGGCCTTTAATGCTTTTAAACTTTTGGAAATTTGCAGTATAAGGTTTCCTTCCTTGAGCTTGACATGTATTGGTCATTGTTAGCTATTACACAGGCATTTATTTTCTAAGCTGTTTAACTATTTCCATTTATGATGGGCACGGTGAATAGGATCAGCTTGCAGCCTACTCTTGATTATGGTGCTTTTGTTTTGCGCTTATTTCCACCATAGAAATCAACCATGGACCATGTTGTTTATCTAAGTGCTGATAAGCTGCTCACCGAACAGTTTGCTGACAGTTAGGTGTTCTTTTTTCCTTGACAAATCCTACTTTGAATTTGAACTTGGATTTGTTTTCTTAAAACTAAAGTATCATAACCAAGAAGACTATCTTTTAGGGATGTAGGTAGTATAATCTACTTCCTCCGTTTCACAATGTAAGTCATTCTAGCATTTCCTACATTCATATTGATGTTAATGAATGTGGGAAATGCTAGAATGACTTACATTGTGAAACGGAGGGAGTACGAGGCAATATTATTCTTTTGTAATTAAAACACCTGGGCAGCTGTATTTTTGCAGCATATAACTTTTTTTTTGTGTCTTTTATGTTATGTTGTCATTTACAGGATTTATCAAAGCTAAACAGAAATCCCGCACAAGTCATTTATATCAGTGGGCATGCTCTGGAATCATGCCTGCAGCCTGAAAATTGTGTTGAGATCAAACCTTGGAAGCTTGAAAATGATGACACTCAACTGCTTGATCTTATTCCCTTTCTTGAATGTAAGACTTTTAATCAATTTCTCTTATTATCCTGTCATCCAGTTATTTTTTTTTTCCATTTTTGTGGTTCTTAGGAATGCAAGTGCATTAGCCAACTAACCCCTCATATTATTTCATTCCTGTGGTTTTTGAAGCATGCTTGATTGCCCCACTTGCATCCTTGGTATTTCTGTTTTTCATTCTTGTCAATCTGTGCGGCAGATGTTGCTATGGCAAGACCTTCGGATATCAGGGCTGTTCTTGCGTCCTATCAAGGCCGTGATATACCTGCTGAGTTTATTGAGCGTTCAAAGGAGCACCAGAGGTAAGCAGATGCTTTCCATAATCTTCAAATAGTTGTAGCTGATGCTAATCTTCTCAAGTGAAAGTAAATCCATGGATTGCACCAGAATAAGCCACGCCATCAAACAAGTATGACTCATCAGATGCACAATTGAAATGAAAAAAGACCGTTGGATCGAAGAGAGCAGGAGCAGTCAAAAAGCAAACATTACCGTTAAAACTCTGGACCCTTCCAACACTCTTGAGAATGAGAATAGCAGGAAGAGTACAGAAAGAACTATATGTACCCGTACCCTTTTCAATTTTTGCCGTATCCTACTCCCTCCATTCCAAAATATAAGTCATAACCACCCTTAACCCAAAAACCAAGAAAATAATTATTATCATCTTGTAGTTTGGATTATCCTAATAAATACAATGCATGCATCCAATAGAATTAGAGAACATGAGAGTGGAGGATTTAAAAAAGTAATAATTTAATGGAGAAGGGGTCATAATTAATTGCCTACATGCATGCATTTCTTATACTCCCTCCATTTTTTAATAGATAACGCCGTTGACTTTTTCTCACATGTTTGACCATTCGTCTTATTCAAAAAATTTACGTAATTATAATTTATTTTGTTATGAGTTGTTTTATCACTCATAGTCCTTTAAGTGTGATTTATATCTTATACATTTGCATAAAATTTTTGAATAAGACGAATGGTCAAACATGTGAGAAAAAGTCAACGGCGTCATCTATTAAAAAACGGAGGTAGTATTATGGAACATCTAAAAAAGTGGTTGTGCCTTATATTATGGAATGGATGGAGTATCTTAGTATAAAGTTGGTATCCATTAACTCCTAAAGCTCAACACGTAACCATGTCACATCATCACCTACTAACAATAGGATTTGTGCCTAAATAAACTATTTTTATACATTATTCGTAATCTATATCCATATTAATATAAAAAAATATTTATTTATTTTATGCATATAAATCTCAACATAGGTTATGTCAACATTTATGTATAAAAGTAGGTTTATTTTACGATGAATGTACTACTTAGCTAGCCAGCTCGATTCACCTGCAAACCAAATAAAATTAAAAAGGAAGAGAACAGAAAATTAATTTTTATGTTGATTTATGTAGTTATATTTAGTTAGCAAATATCAAATAGATCCCCTACATTGAATAAAAAAAATTCTTATGCTCTGCTTTTACATTAAAATATTTATTAAACTGACCTTCCATTTATATTCATATCGTACTATCCCAAAATGTTGGCCTTTATATTTTTTTTTCTCATGCTAATACTCAAAATTTTAAAAATATTAATTAAAATCACCGTATATTTTATATGTTTTTCACACGATATTATTCTTCAATATTGTTAATATAGAGTTATAGTTGTGCGAATGCTCGAATATAGGAAATGCTGTTATGCTTGTAACTACAAGACATTTTTCTTTCTTGTTTGGCAACGAGCATTTCGTTGTGGATTCTCTGATGTAAACGAACAAACTATCTGTTTCACATTAACCTGGACATGGAAAAAAATGTGTTGCAAGCCACATTTTTACCACAACCTAACGAACATAATCTGCCATTTTTGTAGGCGCATGCAGGAGCAAAAGCATCAGGGCCGCTTATGGCGGAGATGATTATAGATCTTTTGGAAGGAAATCTGAGTAATCTACAACACTTTACAGGCACGACACCTCTGTTCTGAGTTCTGAGTGAGCCTTTTAATTTCGGAATTGTAATTTTGTCAACTTGGGTCCCAGAGATACCTTTTACTTTGATAGTTATTGCACGTTCCCCCCCCCCCTTTTTTCTTATTCGTACCGAGGGATAGGTATCTAACCAAATTACGCTGGAATTTTATGATCAAAGCACATTCGATCAAGTGAGGAACATGTCATTAAAAGAATTTTGTTTGGTATTCGCTCACATGAGTTCCGGGCGTAATAATATTTTGTTGATTGCTGCAATCTCGTGCGGCGTAACAAGGTGAACTCTACAACTCGGGAATTTTTAGTTTTATCTGGAATTGTGAATACTCCTATGTAGTTATGGACTTGTGAGTAAGCAAAGTGTTGGCAAAAAGAATTTTTTTAAAAAATCCTCACCCCTCGCCAAGCCTCACAATGTGGATAAATTTGATGTTGGAAACTCGGAGTATTTATGGTGGATAGAGTATTTATCGTGGAAAGAAGCATCGTGTGGTAGAGGCCATAGAGCCTCGCTCCCGGCTAGCACTGCCAGAACGAATACAAGTGGACGCTCGCCCGACCAACCAGAAGCAGAGCCCGTGCAGATTGTGGCGGCGATGCGGCCTCGTGCTTTTGCTCCCCCTTGCCTGCCGGGCAGTGGCCCGCTGCCTGGCCTGGCGGTCCCCGGGCGCGGCGACCTCTTCCCGGCTGCCGGCAGCGTCGTCGGCAGGAGGGCCGCTCCCGCTCCCGCCGGCCGGGGCGCCGTCGCTCGCGCAGTGGACGGGCCGTCCGCCGCTGCGGCCGTTGCCGCCGCGGCGGCGTCCGCCGCGGCGGACGTCCCGCCCCCGCAGATCACGTGGCAGATCGTCGTCGGCGCTGTAGGTGCGTCCATGTTGTCGTACGCTTCGGTTCGGCTTCGCTTCCTCATCACTTCCCACAAATTGTGATGTGCTTGATCATGGTATGGTATTGACCGGGTTTTGTGCAGCTGGAGTGACTCCCTTCGTCGTCGCCGGGGTCGAGTTCGGCAAGAGAATTGTGAGTGTTGGTTTACTGTTTCCTTGCTCGCTAGTCGCTAGCTGCATGAAATCTGCTGAGTAGAATTGCACCCTCCAGACTCCAGTCCTCTTTGCTGCCCCTCTAAACTGAACGCAAAAATACTACTCCCTCCGTTCCAAAATATAGCAACTTTTAGTTAGATGGGACATAGAGGCATGTCCAGATTCGTTAGTACTAAGATTTATCCCATCCAACCAAAAGTTGCTATATTTTGGGACGGAGGGAGTACTTATCATGAAAGTGAGGGTTATGCAATAGTGACAAATATTTGGGAACGGATGGAGCAGCTAGTTGTTAGTACTAATGTTCATTAAACAGTTCTTATTGACAGTTTGACACTGAAATACGAGTGTGAAGAGGATAGTGCTTATCGATCAGACATTCAGAGTTTCAGACCATTCCTTACCAAGTTTTACTGTCCTTCACTTGATTATTGTCTTCTCCTGTATTTCAGATTGCACAGAAGAAATGTGAAATCTGTGGAGGCTCTGGGCTTGTGATGAAGAAGGATTACTACGTTCGCTGCCAAGGGTGTGGTACGTACTGAATCCTCTGTTTCAGTATGTTTGCAGCAGCAATTTTTCAGGACTTGAACTGTGTGGTGTGCTGACAGTATGATAACTGACAATGTGTGTCGCCGTGTTTCATTGACAGGCGGTTTTCTTCCGTGGCAGTCATGGAGAAGATTCTTCACCGGCTGAAAATCGTTAATTTGAATCGTGTTGATTAACACTAGCACTGCAGTTTGAGTTGGACAAGGAGGATATGGCATGACCAGACCAGGTCAATATTGTGTTTATAGTTGTTGTTGTTGGAAATATAGTCATTATTCGGTATATTTTAATCCAAGAAATTGAAACTATGATCATGGCATAAGCAGTGTAGGGTGATCTTAACATAACCAGTAGCATACTATGCGCATCATGAATGTCAGAAACAGGAACATACCAGTAATGCGATAACATGCTAGAGGCATCATGTAGAACAGGAACAAGAACATAGCGCACACAGTATAGCGCTAACAATGGGAACAGGAGTAGCGCTAACAGCAGTAGAAGGAGAAGATTATACCCCGAGAATGGCCCTCCGCTGGATGGTGAGGCAGAATTGCCTCCGTTGTTGTAGTCGTTCACGGCACCTCCTCCTGGCGCACCAGCTCCGGATCCAGCTCCTGTCGGCGTCGGCGGCGGCGCAGCTCCTGTCGGCGGCGGCGCACCACCGCCGCCATTGTTAGAATAATTGGGCTAGGCCCAACTTATAATATTAAATCTCAAAGGCCCATAATAAATGTTGAGGATAATAATACCACCTCTGGATTTAAGCGAGAAATATCTCAACCTAAATAGGGAGTTATTAGAGGCTCCCTGTTGACCAGTTGAGGTGGGGGTCGGAATGCCACACGCGCGCGCGCGCGCCGGGCCGTGGCCGTGGCCGAGGCGTGGCGTGGCTGGCGGCGGGCGGGTGTCACGTCGCTATCCTTTTGCAGCCACTAACCCACGTTCCCACGATTCCCTCCGCAACAGCGCGTCCACGTTCTTTCTCCTGATAGATAAGGAGGCCGCGAGTCCGATCCGAGTTCCTCGCTTATTTCCCGGTGTTAGTTTCTCCTTCTCCGCGCCTGAGTTGCTCTCGCTTCCCCGCTTCTGATCTCTTGCGCGCACGAGAGATTGGAAGAAGCAGTGCCTCCGAAACCACACCTTCGCCTGAGATCTGCACCGGGTAGGCGGGTGATCAGGTTTTTGGGGAGTGCCTCCTGCACGACTGCTCATCGCCATGTCTGGAGTTGCTGCCGCCGCTATTGGCGGAGGTGGTGCGCCGCCGCCGACAGGAGCTGCGCCGCCGCCGACGCCGACAGGAGCTGGATCCGGAGCTGGTGCGCCAGGAGGAGGTGCCGTGAACGACTACAACAACGGAGGCAATTCTGCCTCACCATCCAGCGGAGGGCCATTCTCGGGGTATAATCTTCTCCTTCTACTGCTGTTAGCGCTACTCCTGTTCCCATTGTTAGCGCTATACTGTGTGCGCTATGTTCTTGTTCCTGTTCTACATGATGCCTCTAGCATGTTATCGCATTACTGGTATGTTCCTGTTTCTGACATTCATGATGCGCATAGTATGCTACTGGTTATGTTAAGATCTATGCCATGATCATAGTTTCAATTCCTTGGATTAAAATATGCCGAATAATGACTATATTTCCAACAATCCAAAAACCTGATAGGTCATTTTCGGTAGTTGGCTTTGCTGCTGCACTGAAACCACATGCTTTTGATGGTTCAAACTATAAGAGATGGAAAGCACGTGCACTATTGTGGTTGACAGCGATGCAGTGCTTCTATGTTTCACGGGGTAAACGAAGTGAACCACCTCTTTCTCCTGAGGAAGAGGCTAAGTTCGAGGCTTCGGATTGCCTGTTCCGTGGAGCATTGATCAGTGTACTCACTGACAACATAGTGGACGTGTACATGCACATGCCTTCTGGGAAGGACATGTGGGATGCACTTGAGGCCAAGTTCGGAGTTTCTGACGCCGGTAGTGAGCTGTATGTCATGGAGCAGTTCTATGACTACAAGATGGTCGATGACCGTTCTGTAGTAGAACAAGCTCATGAGATTCAGATGCTGGCTAAGGAACTTGAGAACAACAACTGTGAGTTGCCGGACAAGTTTGTGGCGGGTGGCATTATTGCCAAACTACCACCTTCTTGGTCGGACTTTGCCACTTCTCTAAAGCACAAGAGACAAGAGTTCAGTGTTCCTGATCTCATTGGCTCTTTGGGTGTTGAGGAGAAGGTGAGGGCAAAGGACGTCCGGGGCAAAAAGGTTGAGGGAGGTTCTAGTGCCAATATGGTACAGAAGAAGAACCCTCATGCATCCCACAACAACAAGAAAGTCAAGCCTGATGTCAAACCCAAGGCTGCAACCAATTTTAAGAAGAAAGGCAAGGGAAAGGCAAAGGGAGACTGCTTTGTGTGTGGCAAGTCTGGGCATTGGGCCAAGGACTGTCCTGAGCGCAAAGACATGAAGTCTGCCAACATGATCATTAGCGAGGGCGGAGGAACATCGGGGTACGGTAAAATATTACCTACAGTTCTCTCTGTTTTTCATTCACCTGATTGGTGGGTGGATACTGGTGCTAATATTCATGTATGTGCTGACATTTCTCTGTTTTCTTCTTATCAGGTCGGGAGAGGTTCCTCCTTGTTGATGGGAAACGGGTCGCTTGCGGCTGTTCATGGTGTTGGTACGGTCGATCTGAAGTTTACTTTGGGAAAGACCGTGCAGCTGAAGAACGTGCAGCATGTCCCTTCAATAAAGAAGAATCTAGTTAGCGGCTCTCTATTGTGTAGAGAAGGTTTTAGACTTGTGTTTGAGTCCAATAAATGTGTCGTATCTAAATATGGGACTTTTGTTGGAAAAGGTTATGACAGCGGAGGCTTGTTCCGCTTTTCTTTGAATGACATGTGTAATAATCATAACGCTGTGAACCATATTAGCGAGAATGATGAGTCTAATGTGTGGCATTCGCGACTCTGTCATGTGAATTTCGGTTGTATGATGCGCTTAGCTAACATGAGTTTAATTCCAAAATTCACTTTGGTCAAAGGTTCCAAGTGCCATACTTGTGTTCAATCGAAACAACCTCGCAAGCCTCACAAGGCATCTGAGGCGAGGAATTTGGCACCTCTGGAACTTGTTCATTCCGATTTGTGCGAAATGAACGGCGTGTTGACTAAAGGGGGAAAGAAATATTTCATGACACTGATAGATGATTGCACTAGATTTTGCTATGTGTATCTATTGAAAACAAAGGATGAGGCATTGCATTACTTTAAAATCTATAAAGCTGAGGTAGAAAACCAACTTGAAAGGAAAATCAAACGGTTGAGGTCTGATAGAGGTGGGGAGTATTTTTCCAATGAGTTTGCATCCTTTTGCGAAGAGTTTGGAATTATTCATGAGATGACGCCTCCCTATTCACCCCAATCAAATGGGGTGGCCGAAAGAAAGAACCGTACTCTAACTGAGATGGTGAATGCCATGTTAGACACTGCGGGGCTTTCCAAGGAATGGTGGGGTGAGGCAGTTCTGACTGCGTGTCATGTCCTGAATAAAATTCCAATGAAGCACAAGGAAGTAACACCATTCGAGGAATGGGAAAGGAAGAAATTAAATCTCTCATACCTACGAACATGGGGCTGTTTGGCCAAGGTAAATGTACCTATAGTCAAAAAGCGGAAACTTGGACCAAAAACTGTTGATTGTGTGTTTCTTGGTTATGCTATCCACAGTGTGGGTTATAGATTCTTAATAGTAAACTCTGGAGTACCCGACATGCATGCTGGTACAATTTTTGAGTCCAGAGATGCTACTTTCTTTGAGAATGAATTTCCTATGAAATATACACCTAGCACTTCTAGTAAAGAAACTGTCATGCCCCATGAGCACTTTGCACCGATAGAACACAATGATCAAACGCCTGAGGAAAATCCTGAGGAGGACAACATTGTAGATACTCGCAAGAGTAAGAGACAAAGGGTTGCAAAATCCTTTGGAGATGACTACATTGTATACCTCGTGGATGACACCCCAAGAACCATAGAAGAGGCATATTCATCTCCTGACGCTGACTACTGGAAGGAAGCAGTACGCAGTGAAATGGACTCGATTATGTCTAATGGTACTTGGGAAGTCGTTGAGCGTCCATATGGATGTAAGCCCGTAGGATGCAAATGGGTTTTCAAGAAAAAGCTTAGGCCTGATGGTACAATCGAAAAGTATAAGGCAAGGCTTGTGGCCAAGGGTTATACCCAAAAGGAAGGCGAGGATTTCTTCGACACATATTCACCAGTTGCTCGCTTGACTACGATTCGAGTACTACTTGCTCTGGCAGCCTCTCATGGTCTTCTCGTCCATCAGATGGACGTTAAGACAACTTTCCTAAACGGAGAGCTGGAGGAGGAGATCTATATGGATCAACCAGACGGGTATGTACTAGAAGGTCAGGAGGGAATGGTGTGTAAACTATTGAAATCCTTGTATGGCCTCAAGCAAGCACCTAAGCAATGGCATGAGAAGTTTGACACCACGCTTACATCTGCAGGCTTTGTTGTGAACGAAGCTGACAAATGTGTATACTATCGCTATGGTGGGGGAGAAGGGGTGATCTTATGCTTGTATGTCGATGACATACTGATCTTTGGGACCAGCCTTAATGTGATTGAGGAGGTCAAAGACTATCTGTCCAAGAGTTTTGAAATGAAGGATTTGGGAGAGGCTGATGTTATTCTTAACATCAAACTACAAAGAGGAGATGAGGGTGGGATTACACTTGTGCAATCCCACTATGTGGACAAGGTTTTGAGTCGCTTTGGATATAGTGACTGTAAGCCAGCTCCTACTCCTTATGATCCCAGCGTGCTATTAAGGTAAAACCGAAGAATAGCAAGGGATCAACTGAGATACTCTCAAATCATTGGTTCATTGATGTACTTGGCTAGCGCAACGAGGCCTGACATCTCATTTGCTGTAAGCAAGCTGAGCCGGTTTGTCTCAAATCCGGGAGATGATCATTGGCAGGCTCTGGAAAGAGTAATGCGCTATCTAAAGGGCACTATGAGCTATGGAATTCACTATACCGGGTATCCAAAAGTACTAGAAGGGTATAGTGACTCAAACTGGATATCTGATGCTGATGAGATAAAAGCCACAAGTGGATATGCGTTCACACTTGGAGGTGGCGCTGTTTCCTGGAAGTCTTGCAAGCAGACCATCTTAACGAGGTCAACAATGGAAGCAGAACTTACAGCACTAGATACTGCGACAGTTGAGGCTGAGTGGCTTCGTGAACTCCTGATGGATTTGCCAGTGGTTGAAAAACCAGTGCCAGCTATCCTAATGAACTGCGATAATCAAACAGTGATTATTAAAGTGAACAGTTCAAAGGACAACATGAAGTCATCTAGACACATCAAGAGAAGACTGAAATCTGTCAGAAAGCAGAAAAACTCCGGAGTGATAGCATTGGACTATGTCCAAACGGCTAGAAATCTGGCAGATCAGTTTACCAAGGGGCTACCACGTAATGTGATAGACAGTGCATCGAGGGAAATGGGCTTGATACCCACCTAAGGTTGCATAATAGTGGAAACCTGTCCATTGTGATCGGAGATCCCGTGAATTTGGATGGTGAAACAAATTATTGTGTGACTGAGAGAAGAGACTCTTGAAAGGGGCTCATTTTCATGATGTGCTTCTCTTCTTTCCTGCATGGTAGGATGGCTTATGTCTTAATGTGATCCGAGTGGCTTTTCCAAGCAGAGATGTTGACCTGCAGAACATCTCAGAAGGAACACACCTATATGAGTTCGACTGCTAGTCACAGTCTATGAGGTTTGGGCAATCTCTAGATACTCATGAAAGGCCTGGAGTTTGACTTATATGCTCCAAACAGAGGGGATGCGAACGGCAGCCCAGTACCAGTCAAGGTTCTGAGTGAAACCTGATCACACAAAACTTACAATTCAAGGCATAGTCCATTGTTCAGTTGTGGTCTGATGTAGCTCATTTCCTAGGTGGAAGTTCAACTTAACAGTCTCCACAAAAACTCTGATATATCAAACAGGCACAGCCTTGAGAACATTTCTTATGAGCCTTGAAATTTGGTGGGGATTGTTAGAATAATTGGGCTAGGCCCAACTTATAATATTAAATCTCAAAGGCCCATAATAAATGTTGAGGATAATAATACCACCTCTGGATTTAAGCGAGAAATATCTCAACCTAAATAGGGAGTTATTAGAGGCTCCCTGTTGACCAGTTGAGGTGGGGGTCGGAATGCCACACGCGCGCGCGCGCGCGCCGGGCCGTGGGCGTGGGCGAGGCGTGGCTGGCTGGCGGCGGGCGTGCGTGCGTGCGTCACGTCGCTATCCTTTTGCAGCCACTAACCCACGTTCCCACGATTCCCTCCGCAACAACGCGTCCACGTTCTTTCTCCTGATAGATAAGGAGGCCGCGAGTCCGATCCGAGTTCCTCGCTTCTTTCCCGGTGTTAGTTTCTCCTTCTCCGCGCCTGAGTTGCTCTCGCTTCCCCGCTTCTGATCTCTTGCGCGCACGAGAGATTGGAAGAAGCAGTGCCTCCGAAACCACACCTTCGCCTGAGATCTGCACCGGGTAGGCGGGTGATCAGGTTTTTGGGGAGTGCCTCCTGCACGACTGCTCATTGCCATGTCTGGAGTTGCTGCCGCCGCTATTGGCGGAGGTGGTGCGCCGCCGCCGACAGGAGCTGCGCCGCCGCCGACGCCGACAGGAGCTGGATCCGGAGCTGGTGCGCCAGGAGGAGGTGCCGTGAACGACTACAACAACGGAGGCAATTCTGCCTCACCATCCAGCGGAGGGCCATTCTCGGGGTATAATCTTCTCCTTCTACTGCTGTTAGCGCTACTCCTGTTCCCATTGTTAGCGCTATACTGTATGCGCTATGTTCTTGTTCCTGTTCTACATGATGCCTCTAGCATGTTATCGCATTACTGGTATGTTCCTGTTTCTGACATTCATGATGCGCATAGTATGCTACTGGTTATGTTAAGATCACCCTACACTGCTTATGCCATGATCATAGTTTCAATTCCTTGGATTAAAATATACCGAATAATGACTATATTTCCAACAGTTGTCTATAACATATCTCCACTACAAATGGCCAAATAGGTTCATCGAGATGTATCACAATAGTACACTGTAATCATGGTCATGGTTCTTCTGTCTATACCATGCATATGACGCAGCATATGACCATCCTCTGAGAGTCTATCAGCCCAAAATCTCATGGGACGTGCGTTCACGACAACTACTTGTGGTCTTCTGGAGCTGTAAACAAGAATTATCTAGCCATCAAGCTAAACTATAACCTTCCAAAAGCGGCATACACGTTTCGTTCGTCATGTATGCAAGATCTACTTCGTGATGCCTCAGTTTATTCGTTCGTCAATGCAAAGCGTTTTGATCACCGAACAAACCCATGTCTGCGATATGAGCAAACTGAGTCTGGCCTCGAATCTAAATACTCCTACATAGGTTTCATACTTTCATCGCAAGGACTATAATAACTGGAGTAGTTAGGTTTATGTTTAGTTCAACTTGTCTTTCAGCCCAGAAGATCACATATCGTCTCCACGTGTGCGTCTGGTTTGACTCGAGGACCACGATACAAGATGTTAATTGTTAAATGGGTCACTTCCTCATCTCTCTAGGCTAATGTAAAATGGTATGAGGCTGACACCAAAATCCAACTAAATCATCGGATGATCTCACAGAGTCCCGTAATGAGCCTTTTCTGATTAAAAATTGTAAGTTGGTGTTACCAACACAACAACACTTATCAATTTATCATTTTGAGTGTGAGATTGTAATAATTGGTTGTAACTCTTTAAAAAAAAAGGCCGGGACGCCCCATTTCATTATCAGAAAAAGAACCATGGTGTGTTCTGCGGCTTCTGCCATCTACTCATGGCAAGATCTACTTCCTGATGCCCAAACTGCTGGTCGCGCCCCTGACATCAATCGTCGCACCATCCATTCGATCGGTTTAGATCCGGCGCGCGCCGGACGCGCGGTTCTCTTCGGTTCCAGGCAGCCGGCGCGCCCATCCCGACTTGGCGTGATTGCCGCGGATGCAGTTTAGTTGGTTCCGTCGCGTAACCTCCCTTATCTCCTCGCTTCCCATTCCTGGGCTCTGACTCGGACGCCCTTTTGTCCCCACCCGCCGATCCGCCGCCGCGAGCCCGCGACCGCGAGACGAGACGAAACCAACTCGTCCCCCTCTTGATCCCCCGTCTCGCTTCGCTCGGCGGCCGCGCCACCTCCAAATCTCCAAGCTCCCCGACTCGGCGACTCCCACACGCCATGCCCATCGCGCCCGCGGCTTGCAGCCATCAAACCCCCCCGCGCTCTTTCGCCTCCTGAGCCCGTCCGCTCGCCCGTGGCCATGGACGCGATCAGCAGCGAGGCGCCGGTGGGGGTGTTCGCGATCGGCCCGTCCACGGCGCTGGGCCGCGCGTTGGCGCTGCGGGTGCTGCTCTGCGGCTCCCTGGGGCGGCTGCGCCACCGCCTCGCCGCGGCGCTGCGGGCCGCGCTCCCCGTGGCGGCGGGCTGGCTGCACCCGCGGGACAACACCCGCGGGATCCTGCTCGCCGTCTGCGCCGTCGCGCTCCTGCTGCGGGTGCGGGGGCGGGGCGGCGGGCGCGCCGGGGTCCGGGCGCGGGTGCAGTCCGCGTACCGGCGCAAGTTCTGGCGGAACATGATGCGCGCCGCGCTCACCTACGAGGAGTGGGCGCACGCCGCGCGGATGCTGGACCGCGAGACCCCGCGCCGCGCCACCGACGCCGACCTCTACGACGAGGAGCTCGTGCGCAACAAGCTCCGCGAGCTCAGGCACCGCCGCCAGGAGGGCTCGCTCAGGGACATCGTCTTCTGCATGCGCGCCGACCTGCTCAGGAATCTCGGCAACATGTGCAACTCCGAGCTCCACAAGGGGAGGCTGCAGGTAACTGCTCTAATCTTAACCTGTATTACGCCCGCAAATTTGATGCAATTAGATGGTTGTTAGGAGTTAGGATAGCTAATTCTCAGAACTTCAGCAATGCTTCTACTTTCCCTTTGTTACAACTGAAGTAAAGTAATTCCATTACACTAAATCTGCGAAGTGGATCCACTTCCATTACACACACCAAGATAGTCTTGGAAATTTTTTTCACTTTGTTCGGATGATTTGTTTGTGTTATGTCAGTACGGCAACAAATTATACGAAGTACTCATATTCATAGTGATAGCCTGATAGGATCCCCTTTTGATGTCCCCATTGGAGCATCTACTCAAATGTCTATTCTTATATATCACTATGTCATATTGCCAGGTGCCGAAACTCATAAAGGAGTACATTGAGGAAGTATCTACTCAGCTGAAAATGGTATGTAATTCTGATTCAGACGACTTGCCTCTCGAAGAGAAACTTGCATTTATGCATGAGACAAGACATGCCTTCGGTAGAACAGCCTTGCTGCTAAGCGGGGGTGCTTCTCTAGGTTGTTTCCATGTGGGTGTTGTGAAAACATTGGTAGAACATAAGCTTCTGCCAAGGATAATTTCAGGATCTAGCGTTGGTTCTATAATGTGCTCCATAGTAGCAACAAGGTCATGGCCAGAGCTGGAGAGCTTTTTCGAGGAGTGGCATTCCTTGAAGTTCTTTGACCAGATGGGCGGGATCTTTCCCGTAGTTAAAAGGATTTTGACTCATGGAGCTGTTCATGACATTAGACATTTGCAGACGCTTTTGAGAAATCTTACCAGCAATTTGACATTCCAAGAGGCCTATGACATGACGGGCCGGATTCTTGTTGTCACTGTGTGTTCTCCAAGGAAGCATGAGCCACCTCGATGCCTGAACTATTTGACATCACCTCATGTTCTCATCTGGAGTGCAGTAACTGCTTCCTGTGCTTTTCCTGGTCTTTTTGAGGCCCAAGAGTTGATGGCAAAAGACAGATTTGGAGAAACAGTTCCTTTTCATGCTCCTTTCCTGTTGGGCTTGGAAGAAAGAGTTGGTGCTACAACTCGGCGTTGGAGAGATGGGAGCTTGGAAAGTGATTTGCCAATGAAGCAATTGAAGGAATTATTCAATGTGAATCATTTCATAGTAAGCCAAGCCAATCCTCACATAGCTCCACTGTTGAGACTCAAGGAAATTATCAGGGCTTATGGAGGCAGTTTTGCTGCCAAGGTGCGTGTCAAAAACATTCCATATTGCATTCTTTATTTTTGATTGTTTATTTACTTGAGCTGTCTGTGATATAACTTGATATCGATTTCATGGTGGGAAGGATTTTTATTTTCACTTGGATTGCTACATGATATAACTTTCAGTATTTCAGGCATGTTTGTGGCTTAGTAGCCTAGTGTAGAACTATGCTCAGCAAGGTTTAGTTCACTGCAGATATTAGTTGAATTTTATGTCTGATGAATAATTCAATATACTAAAACTGCTATGGGCAAGCAGGGGAGGAGACAAGCCTAGGGAAATTAGGGTTTGAACTCTAGGCTTGTCTCCTTAATCTCTTCGAAATCCATTTAAAAAGTGAAAAAACTATGTAAAAGTTTGAAATTTAACAAATCAGATTAGTTGAGCCCTAGGCTTATGAATTTCCTTGCTTTGCCTCTATGGGCAAGCATGTATTTAAGTGCTTTGTTGTATGATCTCATAGATTCTTCAATACTATCTGTATGTAGTTGGCTGAACTTGCTGAGATGGAAGTTAAGCATAGGTGCAACCAAATTCTCGAACTTGGATTTCCTTTAGGAGGAATAGCCAAGTTGTTTGCTCAAGATTGGGAAGGTGATGTCACAGTTGTTATGCCAGCCACGCTTGCTCAGGTCTTTAATATTTCCCATTCCTTTCTTTCACAAATATCCTTGGCATTAACTGGTAAACTTACAAATGAATTCTTTCTTGTTATCATCAGTATTCCAAGATCATACAGAATCCATCTTACGCTGAGCTTCAGAAGGCTGCAAATCAGGGTAGGCGATGCACCTGGGAGAAGTTATCAGCCATTAGGGCAAATTGTGCTATTGAGCTGGTACTAGATGAATGTGTTGCCCTGTTGAACCATATGCGTAGGCTAAAGAGAAGCGCGGAAAGAGCAGCAGCTTCACAAGGACATGGTCCTACAATCAGACTCTGCCCATCTAGAAGGATTCCATCATGGAATCTCATAGCAAGAGAAAATTCATCTGGTTCCCTTGAAGAAGAATTCCTTATATCTCCTCGTACAAACCATCATGCAGATGGAGGAATTGCTGGACCATCTAACAAAAACCATCATGTCCAACAAAATGTACATGATGGCAGTGACAGTGAATCTGAGAGTATAGACTTAAACTCATGGACAAGAAGTGGTGGCCCTCTTATGAGGACAGCCTCAGCCAACAAATTCGTCAGTTTTGTTCAGAATCTTGAGATTGACACAGAGTTCAGAACAATTTCATCGAGGGAAGACAGAACTGATGTTGTAACACCAAATGCTAATTTCTTGGTTTCTCAGGCAATTGGTAGAGAATCTGTTGACAACAGTGCAATGCCTATTACTCCTGATAGGAGCTTGGGCAATTCAGGTTATGATCCTCATGATAGTAATGTCCCTAGATCTCCATTTGGTTGTTCAACAAGTATCATGGTTTCTGAAGGCGACTTACTGCAACCCGAAAAGATTGAAAATGGTATTCTGTTTAATGTTGTGAAAAGGGATACTCTTCTAACACCTACAGGTGGAGTTGAGCTTCAGGGAACATCGCAGGAACCAGACGTGGAAACAATTCAGACAGAGTGCCTTGATGATGCTTCGGATGACGACGATGTGGGATTAAATGCTGGTGATGAAGCAGCAATTGACCCTAGAGCAAACATGAGCAGCCAAAATACACAACACCAGGGGTCTTCACTAGAAAATATAAATCTGTCCTCTTCAGTAGATTGTGAAGCTGAAACAATTACTAGTAAATCAAAGGGTTCATCTCTTTTTGATATTGGTATGGAGATTCGTCCAACAATCTTGAGCACGGAAAGTAGTATGTACGAGAGGTCTTCTGCAAAAATAGGACTGAGGACAGTGCATGCAGAATTTATCAGCAATCCAGGTGCTGGGAAGGGAGAAGTTGACTCAGGGGCTGCTAATAAAGAATTTTCCTATTTTTCTCAAACAGCAGATACTGTTATATTTTCAGAAAGCTGTGAAACTGGGCAACATCATGAAGTGAATGTAGAAGCTTTAACCTCATACCCTGTTTCAGTTCTGGAAGATGATAGGTCTGGTGGCTTCAATTTGAGTGAAATAATGGCTACAACTTTCATTGCCGAAGCTGATGCTCCAATATCTAGAAGAGATGAAGTTGAGCAGCATAACGGATCTCCAGTGGAAACATTCCTGGACACAGAAACGGTACAAGCTGGGCCTTGCAGTTCTACTTTGGAGGGCAACAACACCAACAATTCCGAGGAAATGCAAGTTGTTTGCACCTCAGGAACCAATTAGAAGTCAAGACAAGAAGGGAAGTTTTGGATTTATCATATGAAAAAACAACTTCAGTGCTCGTTGTAAATCATATGCAGATGTGCGCCATGTTCTGTTGTCGATTTAAATTCGCACATTACGGAATATCTTGTTATGTATTGTAGGTTAGTGAACTAGGGAAAGAGGTCGCTGAACTTGATGAAATTCCTCGTAAATAGGAAAAGAATGTCAATGGTTTTGTTGAAGCTGCTGCTTGACAAAAGCAAAACAAATTCCACTTCTGCGCAGTACTCGCTCACCTTATCACTAGGGTGATGATCAGTTCGTACAATTGTGGAAGATTAAGCATCATCAGGGTGATGATTAGTTGGTACATTGTACTAGAGGGAGTAGGAGTACTAGGTTTAGAGATACAAAAACTAATTAGTTGACCCGGGACTTCAGGTGTTGCCGAATGTCACCGTTGCGTGGTCGTTTCTTGGAGACGTCGTAGACGGACACGATGATGCTGGCGGTGGCGGGCGGATGAGCAACCCTGGGCACGACGAACGCGTAGCAGTCGGCCGGCAACGACCCACCGTCGAGGGCCGTGCTCCTCACCGGGAACTCCGACGACGACCGCCACCCCGTGGCGCGGCAGTGGAACGCGACGTGGCACTCGAACTTGGGCTTCGCCTTCGCGCCGGCATGGGGATCCAGGAGGAGCACGGCGCCGGCGAGGCCGGCGGGTCCGGCCGGCGCGACGTCGACCAGGAACAGGTGGCCGCCGTCCACGTCGCGGAGGACCCGCTTGCCCTCCTGGACCTGCAGGTCGAACGCCCTGGCGCGCCTGAACTCGGTGGCGGGCGGCCAGCCGTGGCCGCCGGTGAAGTGCGCGGGCAGCGACGAGGTCGCGCCGGCGAAGCCGCACCCGGGCTCCGGGCAGAAGCACGGCGCGTGCGGGCACCCGTCCTCGTGGCTGTCGCTGTCGTGGTAGGCCGTCTTGGCGTCGCACCCGTAGCCGGCGTTGCGGCAAGGCACCAGGATGGACCTCAGGATTTGCTCCACGGCGAAGCAGCGGTTGTACGCGGTGTCCATGGCGCAGACGTGGCACCTGTTCTTGTCCGGGAGCTTGCCATGGCAGGACGAACAAATGACATGCCCAACTCCACACTACCAAAAAAAAAAAAAAGAGGACCCGAAAAACAGGTTAATCAAGATCAATACATGGTGAATGTTGCTCATACATCCATGGTAGAAAGACAGAAAAGGAACCAATTTTACAATATTAGAGACAAGGATGATTGAGTACCTGCAAGACTGGAGGCTTGAGGGGATGACAGCAGACGGTGCAGTCGAGTACCTCCAGATCGACGGTGGCATTGGTGGCGACGGAGCTCCTCTGCCCGGCGCTCTGCTCCATCGCTATTCGCTCCCTCTCTTCTTCTTGATTGCAAATTTGCTGCGCAACGGCTAAAAACTCAAAACTTTCTTTGCAACCTTTTCATTTCGTCAGGCTAGGTGCAGTAGGAGTGTGGTAGTACTAAAACTGGTAAGCCTGACGGATTTGACGTTTGACAGAAGCCAACGGCTTTTGCTCGGAGGGAGCTGCATTTTGATTTTTGAAAACGCCTTTCATTTACCTTTTTTTAAAGTACATTGGAACACATGTACTAGGTTAAATCAATATTTTCACTTAACACTATACTCCCTCCGTAAAAAAAAAACCAACCTAAGAAGCTAAACGGAGCCTAAGAAGTATGGGATGAGATATAATCTAGTACAACAAATCTGGAAAGAAGTCTGACCAAATTTTGTTGTGACGGAGGGAATACATCTTTACATAAGTCTCCAGTTTGGACTCCGGGTGATCAAAATAAGCGAATATGTGAGAGAACTTCATATGATTTACACACGTATAATTATAAAAGGCAAAACATTTTATGTTTTCTTCCTTCTTTTCGGTGTGAGCGGTAATTAACTAGTTTTACCTTTTCTTAAGTAAATTTTACATTGGGCCATATGTTTTGATCAAGATTTTGTTATAAACTAGGGTTAAATCAATATTTTCACTTAACAATATACATCTTTACATAAGTTTTCAGTTTGGACTAGGGTCTAAGGGTAATCGAAACAAGGGAATATGTGAGAGAACTTCATATGATTTGCATACGGATAATTATAAAAGGCAAAACATTTTATGCTTTCTTCTTCTTTTCAGTGTGAGTGGTAATTAACTAGTTTTATTTTATATTTTTATTTAAATTCAAAAATAACTAGTTTTATTTTCTATTTTATTTTTGTTCATTTGCCCCTACGTATAGATCATTTTGTGCCACTTTTAAACATGTTCACATCATTATTTTAGTGTGATTTGCTAAAAAAAAGTTGTTTTGTGATTTGCAAATATTTTTTTAAAGATATTTATCTTAATACTATGGCACTATGGATGATGATTTAAACTAGCTTTTCTCTGACAACTTCCTTTGATGTGCTCATCCCAAGTCCAAAGTGCCAACTAGTGCAAAGATATGTAATGTTAAGTGAAAAGGTTGATTTGGCCATTTCCCATTGTGAAACTTTGTTAAAAATGTATGGTGCAATGTGAAATTTACTTCTTGGTTTAGGACTTTTTCCTTCCCAGTGTCTTATTGCCACTTTGTCCACCAAAGGTTGGAAGTGAATCATGTGAAGCAATTTATCCTACTAGTGTTCACCCGAGAAGAGAACAGAAGGTGCGTCCCTTGTTGCCTTGGCACGTAATTTAGCCTCTGCTAACCAATGACCTAGAGCAAAGGTATAAAACAAAAGGCGATACAATGGCATTGCCTTACTTACTACTAGGTGCAACTAATTTGAATTCAAATATGCGTAGCGGTTTCTACCTGTTCGAGATTATTGACTGGATTATTGTTGCGGGCTATCTACTTTATTCTGGGATAAATTAAATATTTTTAATCTAAACTTATAAATGGCTTAGAATAAGTGGTCTAAGCAATGCATTAGAAGAAAGTTTTTTTTTAAAAAAAACATATTCTCAAAGGTGTGGAACAAATAATCCACATCAAAAATCCAGTGAAGTAGAAATGAACATGTTTTATACCACTTATTTCTCTGTCGTCCAAACACCCAAAGATAATAATACCCTTGCTATAGGAAATCAATGTGTATTTTGTCTAGAAGTCCAATTCTTCTAAGCTAAATGGATGATTGATTATCTAAATTTATGATGATATTCCAAGATATAAAGTATGAATTAACTATTACCAAGTTGAAAAGTTGTTTCTAAAAAAAGTATTATAAGAAACTTATAGATAGAAAACTTTTGCAAAAAATGCACCGTTGGGGAGCTTGGGAAGCGTGCTCATGATAATCAATAATCCAAGGAATAAGATCGATCGTGTGTTTATTGGCTTATCAGCTGCAACCAAAATTTGAATGTTTGAAACTTAGTTTTAGATTTTAGAGTTAATTTTCGGATTTATTCATCATAGTTTATTTTGTAGTATTGACTTTTAAACTGGTAATAACCCATAAATTGTTTTGGATTACTTCATTCTTTTTTGGAGTAAAATATGGGTACTACAATACATGATGTAAACTACGCATAGTGAGTCAACTTATGTGATTGGTTTGTGCATGCTCAAATCCAAAATTTTGGATACGTGTTGTTGCTTTTGACATGCTGAACTCTTGTGCCACAAGCAGTCAAAGCCACAGTTTTTGTGGTGCTCAAAAGACTCGCCAAACTTTTAATGGAAGTCCAACTAGTGATTTGAGTGCCTAGCCAACTTTTAATGTATATAATAGATAAGTGATATTTTTTTATATGATCTACAAACAAGCTAACACGTTTCAATATTTGAAAGGTTTCAAAGTTGTTTGCATCTCAAGACTTTAACCGCGTTCATAGAAGTGATGGAAAATATTCCTCACATGTTCATTATGACATATATGCAAGTCACTCTATCTCTTACACTCCTTTTTATGCTCCTTTTTATGGATCACAAATTAATATTTCTTGAAGGCACATGGTTATATATGTATCGATTGTTAATTAGATAAATGGAACTTGTGTACTCATAATATTTAATATAGCTATTTAGACGGGAAACAAAATTATTATTGTTCTTATTCCAACCATCCAATATTACATAGCTACAATAAGCATGCAGTCTTTTATTTCTTGTAATTTATTTGGAAACCATCCCTAGCAATCCAAGCCTATACTATAATGATGCAGTCATGATATCTTGGAAGTTACTGTAGGCATGACTAGGAGTGAACACGCCTGACTCCACTCTCCTGTTGTGCTTGAGTCTCCTAGCTTCTTCTCTTGAGATACGATATGCATTTGCCAAAACATTGTTAGGAAGTGCACGGAAGATGGAATTCTTTCCCACGATTTGGCTAACAATGGAATTAGGGTTGGTTTTGAATGCAATATATAAGCATCCTTCTCTTTGTGCTTTTTTCACAACTACATGGTGTTGTGGTATAATTAGCAGCTGCCCAGGACGAACCTCTCCATCAAACACTGTCTTTCCATTGTTGTTGACAACTTGAACCCGGCATGACCTTGAGTAATATAGACAATGCTATGAGCATTGATGTTCCAAAAAGGTGAAAGGAGCGCGTTCTACAACAAAAATATTATAAAAAGTTGTCAGCATATTTTTTAAAGCTTTTCTTTGCTAAGATAATATATCTTGTGATTTTACCTGGTACAAATTTACTTTCACGGCACTCATTTGTAGAAGATTAAGAATTGGAAACTTCTGCACATTTAGATATGTGATCCTTCCTGCTCTAGTGTTGTATGTATCAGTGAGGTTCGGGTTGTCAATATTCTATCTTACCCTCATGGTACAAAAGGTCTCATCCAAACCATTAGAGTGACCACCTTGAAATTGTTTTTGTTGATATTGTGTTTGTCTATACTCACTTGGTTGCACCTGTTCTTGTTGTTGCTCTTGCACTGATGCATATGGTTTTAGAAATGCAAGCCCATGCTCGACAAGAACAATTTCTCCGCGTTGGTCATTTTGACATTGGAGTTGCCTTGCTACTCCACTGCTAATGCCAAGAGCCTCACTAAGCAGTTCAACACTAAATCCATCAAAGATGTTCTTCGAACTCTCCCTTGCCTTGGATCTATACAATTATTGACCAATCTTATTGTTGCCAGCTAAAAAGAAATCCTATCAATCCATAAACAAAATAAATCAGCATGTCAAAGAGAGAACTGCAATAAATCAAACGAATTCAAAGAATGCTTGGGTTGTTGGCAATAAATAAGCTATGATTAATTACCTTTTTTCTAGGATCAAGCTGGTTAGCACTGTTATATATATATCAGTGACGTATATGGCAACAATTGGTACATCACCATCATTGTAGCACCAATGAGCTACACCAGCAGGCAATGCAACAACATCTCCCTATCTGAAACGATGGATCTGTTGATGTTCATCTATGAATTTATAATTTTGGCTTTGTCCCTTGAATGATTGGTTTTGCCCGGATTGTTGAAACTATTGTTGGTAAGCCTGAGGACATCCTGGGAAAGTTGGTCCTGTTACACCTCTACCTACAAATCCAGGATTCCACATTAATAAAAGGATATAAAAGCAACAATTATCCAATATATACTTAAATAGATGCACGAACCTTGGATGATATACACTAGAGTTACTCCATTGGAGTAATGAGGTAGTAGAAGACCTCTAGGTTCAATAACTCGACGGACAACAAATACTCCGGTACACTGAAATAACTTATTAGAGATATCGTAAACCTCGGTTGTATCAGCTTGGGACCTTACGGTGCGAATCGGCTTGAATGCCTGCAAATGATCAAATCTGCACTCTCTTGGATTTCCACGGTGAGAACTCTGCCATTGACTAGTACTTTGACTTAGAAATTGGGCTAATGAGCCATGACACAAGAGGAACAAGCAAATGGCAGAGAAAACTACTGGGAATTTGATGGTTGCTATTTTTCTTGTGGACTAAACTCAATGCTTTGTGTGAAACGGTAATATATTTTGGTCTTTTTATACTGATGTGAAGTATCTTCGTTCAAAAGTTAAGATAAAGTTTGTTAATGTCCAGATGTGGAATGACTCATTAGATAGTAAGGTACACGGAAGGTGGATAGATGAGTGTGGACTCACAAACATGCATGAGCGGCACATTGTTATTTTCAATTTTCTTTTCTTTTCCTTTTATTTTATAGGGATCCTTCTTGTCATGTTCTACAATTAAAAGATTGTTTTTAATCTGGACCGCATGTTGTGTATTGCTTTAATTTTGTGATGAAATGTTTTGGTTGAGCATATGATTTAAAATAATCGGTTGGATTTATTAGTATGTTTTGGAGTTACGAAAGATAAATAAGTCGTAATCTCATTATGTGATGTAAAACAATCAGTTGTGCCTGCTATGTGGTCACGGAAGGTGGATAAATCATAGCCACGTCATATTACCTCTTGTATTGCTACATGACAAACACATTGTTGTTTGTTTATGAAAATATATACTCCCTCCTTCTATAAATGTTTGACACCGTTGACTTTTTTAAACATGTTTAACCGTTCGTCTTATTCAAAAAACTTTTATGAAATGTGTAAAACTATATGTATACATGAAAGTATATTTAACAATAAATCAAATGATATGAAAAGAATTAATAATTACTTAAATTTTTTGAATAAGACGAACGGTCAAACATTTTTAAAAAAGTCAACGGCGTCAAACATTTTGGGATGGAGGGAGTATATGCTTTTGGTTTTGGTTTCTTCTAACCTAATATATTATTTCTATGCATGGTTGTTGACTTGTCACAAATTTATCTCATAATAAATATATTTTACATGTACGGCACCTATCGACTGTGACATGGTAGTCACATTTTTGTGAGACTTAACTTTAAACTGCAGCACTGGCGTCCCATTAAACTTTTGCAAACATGTATGATACTGTAGCTGACAAAACCATCGGTAAAAATGCTAGACGTGGGCCCGTCCATGTCTACTTAAAAACCATCCATGTCTACTTAAAAACCATTGGCCCCTGCTATCTGTAGCCTGTAGGAGTCGTCCTGATCAGAATAAAAAAAGAATAAGTCCACTTTGACTCTCTTAAAAATAACTCGAATCTAATCCGTGATCCTCAACTGTA